TTCTTACCGTGCGGATCGGTGTCACCGCGTGCTTACTGGCGTTCATCATGCTCGGGCGCATCAGCACGGTCGGATCGCTGTATCTAGCCGCTACTTGCTTGGCGACCACCTCAGCCACAGTCGTCAGCGGTCTCAACACGCTAAGCAGCTTCGAGGCTAGCGAGGGCGAGCGAGGAGGCAAGCTAGGCATACTCCGAAGTTACGGTCAACTCGGACGAGGCTTGGGCCCCATTCTGTTCACTAGCGTGTACTGGTGGGCGGGTAGAGAGGTTGCCTACGCTGGGGGTGCTCTAGGTATCTTGGGCGTTACGTTGCTGGTGTTCACCGGGCTAAAGTCACCGCCCGGTTCGCTGAAGAAAGTTAAGTCGGAAAAGAAAGAATTGTAAAAAGTTGTCGTTGTTTCAAATGCGTTGGAGTGTACAAAAAGGCCCTCAGCTCCTTTACCAGATGATCATGGAAATTTCGGATGACTTATTAGAATAGCGTTGTATACAGCGGTAAGCTCGAAGGGATGTTTAATGATGATGATCAATCAACGAGTTTATGGTGGCATCTCTATCTAATGAGATCATGCTTGGGTTATTTATAAATAGAAAAGGTAGATAACATAAAACTGTTACTTTAGCTGTGGGTTTTGTTGAAGAGTCAATATACACTACTATCATCGCATAATATATACTAAAAGCAACACCCGTAAAAGTTAATGCTTTTATTTACCACAGCCTCCCAATGGTAATTAAAGTATGCGATTGATATTTTTTTAAAAATCACGGCTATTATTTGCTTAAAAGGTACGTTTTCCGATACGATATTTATTAATGACTTTAATATACCCCGTACATTAAAATTGTTTAAATTCGTTAAACGATATTAAAATAAAAGGTTTAATATATAAACTTATATATTAATATCGTTACTTTTATTAAAATAAAATTATATTAATAATTAAGTAATTTTCGTATAAATATTTAAAAAAAAAAAAACTATTATTATAATTATTGTTTATAAAGTTTAATTTTTTTAAAGTTATGGTTAACGTAGTTTTACTTTATATTATATATTTGTTTAAACATATATATAATTTTATTTAATTATAATAATTAATTTAAATAATTAAAATATATTATTTAATAATTAATTATTTATTTTTATATAAATAAATTATATAAAAATTTATTAATAATTTAAAAATCCACGATTTATATTTTAATAATTTAATTAATTATAAATTTTATTTTTAATCGTGCGTTAATTATCGAGTTTATAAACAATTTTAAAATTTCCTCGGTTTTATAACTTAAACGTTAATTTATTATAATAAAATATAAACTATAATTATTTAATTAAATTTAATTAATTAAATTTTAAAGTTTTACGTTAAATTAATTTAATAATATAATTTAATTTAATTTAACTTAATTTAATTGTTAAATATAAAACATTTTATTTATAAAATAATAATAAAATAAAAAATAATGCGTTAAATTAATGTATTAATAAATGTGTTTTAAATAAATGTTATATAATGTAAAATGTAAATAATTTTATATATATAATTTTAATTATTTAATTTATTATTTAATTAACACGTGACTTGGTTTATATAATCAGTTATATTTAAAGGTTTTTTTTTTAAAAAAATTAATAAAAATAAAATAAAATAATTAATTAAAAATTAATTAATAATTAATTGGTAATCGATTATTAACCAATTAAGAATTAATCTTTAATTAATTATTTTATTTTATTTTTTTGATTTTAGTGAGTTGAGCCCAAAAGGCGCTAAAGCGAATCCGGACGGTAGGCTTTACCACATTAGGTTAGCGTTTGGGCTGTTAAACCGGGGGAACTTTGGGATTGTCAGCGTACTCTTGATCATCGAGGCTAAATGCAGATCTTTGACCGCAAAAGTTAATAAGCAACACTCGAGCCTCAGCACCGTCTTTAAGTTCCAGGTACCCAGAAATGTGGAGAGTAGCTAAAAATACTGTGGAGAGGGATCGTTCGTCAGGTGAATTGAGAATGTTTAGGACGTAAACAATATGTGAAATCTCGGAGTCCCGGCAAGGTGCTTAACGCGGCATTTCTTAAAAACACAATAAGCGTATAAAAATACGGCGTATAGAAAATTATCCATTAAAATACATAGTATTCGTGCACGGGGTCTTTATAGTCCTATAAAAACGTCAAATTGAAGCTTTGACTTACAGTGGGGTGGGACTATAGCTACTGTATTAGGCAATAGTCGAGGGCTTGCCGGGCTGTGATTGGCTGACAGGTTAAGTTTAGCTTTCCTCATGACTTGGATTTTCTTTTAAACACAATAAAAGTCCCAATCACATACCTAGTATACAGTCATAACGGCGGCCGGTTGTTTGCCAGGTACGCAGAGAAAACGCCACGATTCCTCACCCGGCTTAACTCAGCCTAGGGATGGCTCTGCAAATCTTAGCTGGAGATCTATTCTCCGCTCAACGGTAAACTGCTAATACAACCCAAGCCTAAAAGTGAGGCTTAGCCAATCCTACAACAACCCCAGAGTAGCTTTCATTACGTAGGTTTGCAGACTGCTTGGTCAATGCTGTCAATGCTGTCATAGCTTGCCGGCTACAAGAAGAACGGCCAGCCTTCTTTTCTGAATGTTAAAAAAACAAAATCAATCCCAAGCTTTTTCCTTCTTATAAACTTCTCACGTACGTCTGCTCCTGTAGACTCGACAATACTTAAACACTAATGAATTGTGCTTCAGTTATAGCTGAGCAAGGATTTGTTGGTGCACGATGAAATCAGCAGTACTTTTCACCGGCCTTTTGGTCTCATCCAGCCAATACGCTACGGCTCAAAGCAGTTCGAGTTTCGACTGGACCAAGCTTAGGCCATCCGCATCACTGGAGTATTCTGAATGCTATGGCTCTCTTAAGTGTGCTAAGCTGGGAGTTCCTATGGACTGGCTTAGCAACTCGACTCGCAATGCGACCGAAGTCTCCTTGGCCGTTATTGCGCTTCCGGCTACGGTCCCCGAGGACGATCCCTCTTTTGGTGGCACCATCATCGTCAACCCCGGCGGTCCCGGCGGATCTGGAGTAGAGTTTGTGCTCGAGGCTGGCGAGCTTCTTCAGGGTGTTGCCGATGGAAACAAGCACTATGAGATCCTCTCCTTCGACCCTCGCGGCGTCGGATACTCGGAGCCCAAGGCGGACTGTTACAATGATGAGCTCGCCCGAGATGTTACCGCACTCTCGCTCCGTGGTATGGGTCCCTTGAGTGGTGGTGTAAATGTCGTCAGACGCCAGGCCGCTCTATTAAGCGCGTATGGAAGTCTCTGCGAGGGTGAAAAGATCCACAAGTTCATGTCTACGGCTAGCGTTGCGCGAGACATGGTCCAGATCGTAGACAAGATCGATGAGCTACGTAGCAGTAACGGAACTTCTAGCGCTAAGTTACGCATGCGTGGCGGCCCGCGACGAATGCATTCGCGCCAGGAGAAAGACCTCCCTCGTATCCAGTACTGGGGCTTTTCTTACGGTACGGTTCTTGGAAACTATTTCGCCTCCATGTTCCCTGGCCGTGTTGATCGCATGATCCTCGAGGGCGTTGTGGATATCCATGATTACAACGCAGCCGTAAGTGTCACGCTCTAACATAGCTATCCCTATACAAAGCTAACTTGTACATATAGGCATGGTCCAAGAACCTTCAAGACACTCAGGAGGACTATGACCAGCTTTTCATCAATTGCTTCGAAGCTGGTTCTCACTGCGCCCTTCACAAGCCAGGCGACTCGGGCCCCAGCGATATCCGCGCCCGCGTCGATGCTTTCCTAGAGCAACTCGACGAGTCTCCGGCTCAGATCGTGACGAACAGCAGCATCGAGGAGATCACCCGAGCTGACGTCACCACCATAATCTTCCAGGCTCTGTACCAGCCCCAGGAGTACTTCTCACAAGCTGCCAAGGTCATAGCCAAGGGAATGGAAGGTGACTTCAGCACTGTGTATGCCAGCCTCGGCACCCCTAAATCGGCCGAGTACTGCCCCACGACTATCCCCAAGACGTACACTTGGACGCAGGACGCAGAGATCGCCGTCGGATGCGGAGACGCGGAGTCAGCGAATGACCAAACTATCCCCGAGTTCCAGTCCTACCTCACCGACATCCAAGAGCAATCTCCCGACTTCGGCCCGGCCTGGGCCCAGCTCCGCCTCGCCTGCAGGGGCTGGCGCGTGCGTCCTAAATACCGCTTCACAGGGCCATTCACGTCTCCCGCCGCGGACCCGAGCGGCGCTCCCGGCAAGCCCAAGGCCCCGATCTTATTCGTATCTAGCCAGTGGGACCCGGTGACTCCTTACGCCAACGCCGTCGCCATGGCGAAGGAGCACGCCGGCGCGCGCGTCCTGCTGCAGGAGAGCCCCGGCCACACCACGTTGTTCTCGCCTGGAAAGTGCCGCGAGGACTACGTCAAGAAGTACTTCGAAACAGGGGAGCTGCCGCCCGAGGGTACGGTCTGCCAGCCCGACTGTAAACCCTTCCGGGACTGCCCCTCGGCTCCTACTAGCAAGCGCAGCGTGGGCGTTGCGGCGGAGAAGGCCTTCCCTCCGCCGAACCGCGGGCCTTTGGGGATCGCTTGGTAGGATATCTATCTACCTACATATCTAATTTCCGTGATTTTATTTTCATTTTATTTGACGAGCCATTTTGCCGCGGAAGGCTACTAGAGAGGAATAAGGTTTATAATAATAGAGGATCTGTACGATAGGAATGGGGGTTTGTTGATGATGTGACGTTTATTAATGATAAATAAGAAACAACTACCAAAGAAACAAAAGATTTCCCTCGTTGTGACGTGATTGCTCAGGTCGAATTGGGTTTGGTGTCTGTTCATCGTGAAATTAAACTACATACAACTGGTTGAGAGGAGACATTGGTTTGGTTCGGACTGGTATGATTGCCTGCGGTCTGTTCATTACGGGTTAACTCGTGCGTGTACAGAGTATATGGCTCTCAGTTTTCAGGTAGAGAAATGTCATCTGGGCCGAGTAGGAAGAATGGTGAAGTGCTAGTTAAGGCACCAGTTGGGGGACTGTAGACTTGGTTAGCACCTACATAAAGGTATTGAATAAGAAGAAGAGGATATGAAGAAATACCTACAACACGTTCGCGTTATCTCCGTTGAGTTGAGTGCTAGGCACTAATGCCTCAAGGAGGCCGGGGTTCGTAGAGGGATAGTATGGGGGACCACTACCAAGGAAGAGAGTACGGCACCAATGGTAGATCTCGTCCATCGCCTCCTCGCACTCCCAGAGGCAGATGTCGTTCTTCTTAACACATTCCACGGCTACGTTCTCGACAGGCTCGTGGAAGACAGTCCAGCCGTCGGATCTGCGGCGTATGAAGATCAGCCTACCACCGTTGGGCACGAGGAGGTGCTCGTCGTCGTGATTGACATAGCACAATTCCAGGCTTGGGCTCTGCGGTCGTACCATCCTCGCCGCAGCCCTCGCTGCCTCTGCGATCGCGGGTTCCTCATACTTTTGCATTTGGCGGGTGTAGTTCTCAAGCGGGGAGCCGGGGTTCTCGCTGCGGTGGCGCTGGTACGCGTCATACTTCTGGCGAAGGAGATAGTTTAACCCTCTGAGCAAGATGTTCAAGTTTGAGTTAGTCGGAATAATGAGCCTGCTGTAGCGAGGAGGCCAGAAGGTGCTCATGGTTTCCGCGATTACCCTATGAGTTGAGCGAAAGGGGGGTCTGTATCTTCCCTTGCGGTCGTCTCCGCAGCCTAGAAGCTCAACTATGCGCTTCCCATCAACGATTCTGACGCTGATCTCGGGCTTGACTGGACATGCTGCACTGGGGATTGGGGGGACGACAAGGCTTTTGTCGGGACCCTATGTTGATGTTAAGTTAGCAGAGTGTTTCCGGTTTGGATATAGAGAGGACTTGCAGTCGTTTCGTAGACAGGGTTTGTCTCACGGGCATCTGTCTGGGTACTAGCGTCACACATACGAGGGACATCCGTCTGGATATCATCGTCGTGCACATCAGCGACAGGCTCTTCCGAGTTAGACATGATCTAAAAAGCTGATTAGAATAAGTCGATAATAGAATTTTCGAATATGAAATACCTCGTTGGAAAGTTGTGTCCTAAGAACCAAATGCAAATCGAACTGCTAAGTTCCTGTAGATAGGAAAATGATGATCCAACAACACAAATAAGTTAGGTACTTGACTGGAAAAAGAGGCTAAACTGTAGATGCTCAGGTACTCGAGCAGGCACAGTTCTTTGCTCTGACTCAGTTTGCGTTGTGAGGGAGGAGAAAATAAAAATAAAATCTAGGATGGATTGGCTGCGAATTTATTTGTGGCAGGCCCAAGCTCAAATCAACCTAATAACCCTTAGTCAGTGCTGGTTGCTCTAAAACTGAGGGGATCGTGAGATTCTTAGTGGCTGATAGGTACATAAGCTTAGGAGGTTTAGGACCCGCGAGGGGGTGAGGGACCTTTAGGATTGGTCTGTGCCCAGGGACAAGCTGTTACGGCTGATGATAAACGTAACCGTATGAGGGGGGAGAGCCTTAGGATATCTTAGGCATAACTGAGTGCTGGCAGAACTACAAATAATATGGCAGTGTCTAACGTCTAACTACAGGAACTTGGTTATCTTAGGACAACGACAACATGCTCGTGGCACGTTGGCATACGTATACCTAATATGATGAACACAGTTATTCCCAAAGAGATCATTATTTTTCAGGTCCAGACACTTGTAGTCTAAACAGGATCACAAAGCTTCACTATCGAAGACAGTGAACAAGCGTTCATGCGTATTTGAAACCACAAACGATACAGGTACCTATTAAGAACAACGCCTTAAACCTTTATATTGAGTTAAATATTGCCCAAGGAACTCCCATTTTCAGCCATAGTAATGTCTTGAACGGTGACGAAAACAGGAGCTGAATATGGCAAATCTGATCAGTAATAGTCTTAATGTGAACATAAACGAAAATGAATTCTACGTACGCCAGGGCATCCTCTCTAGATTCGGATCATGTAATTTATAAGTAAATTTTATTTTCTACCCAGGTGTCGTGCTCCCAGTATTTGTCTCGCTGCCAACGGTGGGATCTGAGCTTTCCTTGGGACTCTGAGAATAAAATCCAAGCTTCTGGGAGTACTGTTGTTGCTGCTGCTGCGAGTGAGAATACTGAGTCTGTGGTCGGGCCACAAGGGGCCCTCCGGGCCATTCTTGTTGTGGCTGCTGCATGACCTGCCCCTGAAAATTGAGAGGCATCTGCATTAATGAGACTCCTGCTGGTTGGCCATATATATGCTGTCCATATTGGTGACCTGGCATACTATGGTATCCTGTGTTTATAGAAGGACTCATCTGTGGTAGTGGTATCTGCTGTTGTACCATCTGTCCTGTCATTTGATTGGGCCCGTTGACATTCGAGGTGGTCGGTCGGAAATTGGCTTTGCCACTGGGTTCATAATTGTGATTTTGGTCACTTCTTTCAGCTCGCTTCATAAGTTTGCTAGGCTCGCTTTGCTCGTAGTCCTCTCCTACCCTGATATAATTCTCCTTCGCTCGTTGGTTGCTGCTGACGCCGTATATTTCACCAAGGTATGTCGAGAAATACGAAGCCTTAAGAGCAGATATAATATTGAACCACTCGCGCAGCTGCAGTCCCCGGCCGATCTTCCCTCAAGTTGAAAGCCCGGCAGCAGTCTGGGACTTGCTTCAAATACCAGAAATTGACTATATTGACCTGGAATACGTCAGGAAGAAAGCTGGAAGTCTATATTTCGAGGACAGAAGCCGGGCCGAACAGGTTGTGCTTACCAGACAGTTCAAGCAGTGGATGCTTTCTGACAAGCATTGGATATACTCGGGCAATCAATGGGTTCGTCCCGGTCAGAACGACGATATCTCGGAACAAACTCATTAGCTTAGTATTCTTCTGCGGGCGCCACCTTGATGAGGACGAAAACCCAGGTCCACCGGCCATGATTCGCAGTCTGATTGGTCAACTCCTACAGCAGTACCCTTCCTGTCCAAGCGGATTGGCACAGCATGTCTCCATGGGTGATGCGAGAAGGGGAAATATTCAAGAGCTTTGTAAGTTGTTTGGGTGCCTTATAAGACAAATACCTTCGACAGTCACAGTTTTCTGTATGATAGATGGCATTGGGTTGTACGAAAGAGAGCAGTACAAAGATGGCATGGAGGATATATTAATCTGTATCTTGGAGTTGGCTGAAGACGAAGAGAAGGGCATTGTTACGCCAATCAAGATGTTCTTGACGAGTCCGCGGCCTACTCGACACGTACGGGCCGTATTTCAAGAGGGAACATCTTTATTAAACATGGCGTCTATGCCAGATCTTAGACAAGGCCCTAGTCCCATACGGTTCAACAGACAGGTTGGTGATCTGTTTGAACAAAGTTTACAACAGGACGAGTAAACTTTCTTGGTGGGTGAGACCATAAAACCATCAGAATGAACTGAATCAATCGGTCGGTATGAGTTAGCACCTAGGTGCCTAGTGATACCTAATGGTACCTAAGTGAAGTAAAGACTGAATAGAATTTTCTTATTTCCAAGCTATATCTGGGCTAACTAGAAATTAACCTTTTTTCGTACTATATGACATGTCTTTGTAACTTATAAGACATCATAAACCTTGCTATTAGTTAACTAGTTCAATTCGATACCCGAATAGTCTTTTAACCTAAACGACTTGATCTTAATAGTCAACAGTTAGCAGTCAATCCGTATCTTCAGAAGGCTTACTTAGGCCTTGGTATCTTCTCGAGGAATTAGAAATTTATTAAGACTGAAATGATCTAAGTGCCAAGCCAGCATCGTTTGCGAATACCACTTTTCCTGTGTAAGTCTCGTAGCTCACTTTATACGGAGGCGTGTTTGCTCAATTCTGAGATCGGACAAGAACCTAGCTATAATAACATCGTTATGGACGTGGCTAAATATATCAAGCTAAACATCTTATATTAGTTATCACATATAAGCAGCATTTAAGCCAAGTGAATAAATTCACAAAAGTACTTGCATATAGTGCGAAAGCTTGGGCCCAGCACATGGAGAAGGTGCTACGCTACGGCTACGGCTACGGCTACGGCTACGGCTACCGTTTGCTTTTTTCGAGGAATCAGATATATTTGATCGGACGTTTCGAAATCAAGCTGAAGTCTAGCAAGGGCGTCTCATTGGCAGCAGGTCAGCCAAGGTGGAGCAGTTTTATGTACGGGTAGGTGCAGATAGGCAGGTACCCCTAGATATTTTCTGTTGTGGTAGGGATGTGACCTGGCACTTCCGCTCTTTCATCACCTCGTAGCTCGTAGCTTGTCGTTGCTGCCTGTTGCCCGTTGCTTCTCGTTCCTGTTCCTGGATTAATGACGTGTTACCCGTGGACCTCTCTTCAAGCTGGGTTAGGTACCTAGTGTACCTAATATATCTCAATAACGACAACTGCTGCCATCACCACCACCACAATAGCCAAGTGGTAAAAACATACAGCCGCACTAGAGAAATGGTTAACTCGTCGGCCTCCTACTGCTTAAGGATGAAAATAAGCCGAAGATTCCCGGTTCGAGTCCGGGGTGTGGTGTGTTCTTTTTTTCTCTTTTTTATAATTATTTTCGTTCGGCCCCTTATCTTTATCATCCACCATCTTAGACTATTTCTTCTTGATTTATTTTATCGTGAATGATGGCATGAAGGCTTAACTAGCACCTAGCTGTATTCATTACCTCCATAATTCATATATCTGTTGTTATTACCTACTGTAGATGATCATTCAAGTTTGTACTCGTACAAATGCGCCGGATAAACAAACAGTAAGCAAACGAACAATTTCATCGAATAGATTACTGATCACTAACTACCTATCATAGCGTTTCGAAGAATGCCAAAATCTCCTTAATCACAGCCTCAGGCTGTTCTTGCTGTACCCAATGCCCAGCACCATCCACAAGCTTCGCGCCCCTATAACAGCCCTCCTTAACAGCCTTCGGGTCCTCGTACCCCTCAAGCGCACCCGGCTGCTGGTAATTACCCCAGTCCTGCTTCCCACTAATGAAAACACACGGGACCTCGATTCTGCGCCCTGAGAACAGGAGCATGTCTCGCGCCGACTGCTTCGTCGACGCCGTCTGCGCCCGGTACCAGTTCAGCGCGCCTTGGAAGCCCGTCCGCGCCCACTCGCGGCAATATACCTGCAGATCGTCCCGCGAGAGCCACCGCTCCGTCTTAGAATAGTCCTCGCCTGCCATGTTAGAAGCCACTGTCTCGGGCATCGAGTGCTCTGCTCGCATGATATAATACTCGGGCATGGGTGCTATTTCCTGAGCGCCCCACTTCGTCAGGGGTTGCGGCTTGTTGGCGTCCCAGTCTGCCGACTTCAGATGGAAATATCCGCGGAGGAATGCCTCAAGGCCTTGGGATGGGTTCTCCCAATCCTGGGCGGCGTTCGGGCTCGAGTTGTACCACTTGTAGTGCTTCCGGGGCGGGTCAAGTTTCGCTAGCTCGGCCTGGATGTCTACCTTCTTTACTTCCCCCTTTTCCTGCGGAGTGATGGGTTCCGCGGGTCGGTGGTGCGGATGGCTCATTTGAATGGTGGAAAGAAACATGTCTGGACGTATGAGCGCGGCCATGGCGGAGCTCACACCGCCAAAGTCGTGGCCGATGATGCTGTGTACCGTTTTATACCCCAGACCATATACTAGACACACCAGATCGCGTACTAGGTTCGTGAAGACGAAGTCATTAAGGTCTACTGACTCAAAGGATTGTTTTCGCGGCCACCCCGTGGTTCGCCCGTAACCGCGTTGGTCCATCGCGACGCAAAAGTATCCCGCTTTGGCAATCGCGGGCAGCACTTTGCGCCATGAGTACGCGAGCTCCGGGTATCCGTGGCAGAAAAGCACGAGAGGTTTTCCGGGCTCGCCTGCTTTTAGGATATGCCATTTAAGACCGCACGATGTGGAGCAGTCGATGTAGTCCTCCACGATGCCCTCTGGTAGAGGTAAGCCCGGCAGCGCCTCGTTTGGCTGGTCTATGGTACTACTCATGATGGATTTTATAATTGGAATAAGCTAATATTATAGTGTTCAATGTTGTCTACGAAGTGAAAAGGGGTCCGAGATTATCATTAGACCCCGCAGATACCTAAAAAGGGTATCTGTTAAAACCAAACGTCAATTTACGTCAGCACGTAGCATCGTATTGTATTTGATGAGACGCTGCATGTATGTGGCCTATGATATATATCTAACACGCGTCAAAGATATACGGAATTAAAGCTTCATGAAATTGTAGAAGTGTATTGGGTTTATTTTATAATCTGAAGGACCTCCGATAAAATAAGCGAACTTTGCTTTTTTAAGGAGTAATTACGTCATTTTCGTCATACATCTTTCACTTTGAAAATGGGTGATGGAGTCATTGTGATGGAAGGAGCTCTAGGAGTCTAGGTAAAGTAAATAATTCCTCCTGCATATAAATCGAGACCTACGAATGTCTTGGCTTTCAGTTCCTCCAACTTATTATCAACTAATCTAACCTATAAGTTATAACCTACCTAGGTACCTAAGTTGGGTAGCATATCGGTAATAGATATCCGAGAACAACCTTGTTACCATGTCTTTAGCCCGCGATGTTAGTATTAGTAGAGCTAAACGCTTCTTATAAATAATAAATAATTTTATTATTTATTATATTTATTATCATTTGGCTAACCATTTCTCAGATCGACCCAGAGGATCTCATAGAGCGCCTCCATGACGCTAACCTCACCGAGAATGGCCAACACCTGCGTCAGATGATGACCACTTCTCATCTAACGCCTTACGGTACCAAATATGCAAGCTTGGCGGCAGCGCCCAAGTATAAGCTTCCCAAGGAGGGAACACCAGCAGACACCACTTACCAGCTAATCCATGATGAGCTGGACCTGGATGGCAAACCAAATCTGAACCTTGCCAGGTAAGTACCGCCTTTCTCCTTGAACTCGAGACTCGAGTATCAGAAATGCTTAACAGGTAGTACTCTCTAGCTTCGTAGGGACTTACATGGAACCAAACGCCACCCAACTGATGACGGAGAATTTATCCAAGAATCTGGCTGACAATGACGAGTATCCGGCCATGATGTCTCTTCATGAGCGTTGCGTCAGCATCATCGCTGACTTCTGGGGGGCTAAGAGGAGCGAGAAAGCCGTTGGGACAGCGACCACTGGCTCCTCAGAGGCTATTCACCTAGGAGGCTTGGCAATGAAGCGTCGTTGGCAGGAACGTCGCAAGGCCAAGGGCTTAGACACTTCTAATCCAAATATCATCATGGGTGCCAACGCGCAGGTCGCACTCGAGAAATTCGCGCGCTACTTCGATGTTGAGGCGCGTATTCTCCCGGTTTCTAAGGAGAGCAACTATCGACTAGACCCGAATCTTGTCCGGAAGAATATCGATGAAAACACGATTGGCGTATTTGCCATTCTAGGAAGCACTTATACCGGTCACTATGAACCGGTGGAAGAGATCTCGAAAATTCTCGACGAGTACGAGGAGAAGACAGGCATCGATATCCCAATCCACGTCGATGCAGCATCCGGGGGTTTTGTTGCGCCATTCACTCATGCACAAGCCGGCGGGCCGAAGTGGTGAGTGAAATTTTATTTTAAAGGTCCCTTATGAAAACGTCCTGCTAATGTCTACTTTAAGGGATTTCGAACTTCCGCGAGTCAAGTCTATTAACGTGTCGGGTCATAAATACGGTCTCGTCTACGTCGGCGTCGGTTGGATCGTCTGGCGGGACGAAGCTTACCTACCACAGCACCTAATTTTCGAGCTGCATTATCTAGGTGGTACCGAGAAGTCTTTCACATTGAACTTCTCCCGGCCTGGCGCGCAGGTCATCGTGCAGTATTACAATCTAATTCACCTCGGCTTCGAAGGGTACCGCGAGATTATGGAGAACTGCCTCCGCAACGCGCGCCTCCTATCTAAAAGCCTCGAGGCCACCGGATGGTACACGTGCGTCTCTGATATCCATCGCCGAGCGCCCGCCGCATTAGGTGTGATCTCGGGTGCGAAACGTGCCGTCCTCGGCGGGGAGGGGGAAACCTCAGCCGACTACGTAGCCGGGCCACCGGTTGTGTCGTTCCGACTAACAGACGAGTTCAAACGGGAGTTCCCGCACATCAAGCAGGAATCGGTATCGCTACTTATGCGCGCGCGCCAGTGGATAATACCCAACTACGCGCTTCCGCCCAATGAGGATAAGATTGAAATCTTACGTGTAGTCATCCGCGAATCCATGACCCTGGATCTTCTAGACCGCCTGATTGTGGATTTGGTGTCTGTGACGCAGACTCTGATCGACAACGACGAGGTCGACCTGTCGATCCTCCAGAAGCAGAAGCCGGTGGGAGATAGCCGGCCGCCCAAGGACGCTAGTAAAGGGAGCCTTTCGGAGGAGTCTGCTAAGGTGCTCGAGGGGAAGGCGGCGCGACTGGCAGAGGGTATTCACAGGAGCGTCTGCTGATATCTCTCTATGGTGATGATCAGTCCCCGTTTGATTGGAAGATAATTCCAACGAGAAACTTGGGCATACACGATAGGATTCTAGGACCTTTGTCGTGACTATCTCTTTGGAACCGTCTAGCCTGGGGTTTCGCCAATAGGATTTGTAAGCTTGGCGATGCCCCCTAGTTGGTAATATGGGATTCTATGGGAATATAGGGGTTGCGATACAACCGGTCACTGAGGAGTATTGTACGAAATCAAATGCCAAGGCCGAGATTAAATGGTATTTCTTAAGATGCTTGCCTACTTGTGTCTAGACAATCTGCGCCCCAACAGAATTGATTCTTAATTGCCTAAAGCAAATATATGACGATCGCAACGTCATGGTTACTTCTTCCGTAGCATATCCGCCATAAGCGTATTTCCTAATGATTTCACCCACTTGGTCTATGGTTGAGGTAAAACATATATATGTTCTTGCGACTCTTACTGAAACTGGCTTTCTATGATCTGTACAAACTGGCGATTCTGTAGGTGTCCAGTCAACAATAGATATATGTTCCACGGAAGAATACACCTTCATGCGCGACACACCTGCATTATGTTATGTAGGTACCTTACTTAATAAATAAGCATTAACAAAAAGCTTCGTCGCGATCTGCAAAAATGACAGCAACGGCGTCGCATTTACGTTGCGATCCCGAATACCTAAACTAGCCGGGCGGACGCCCGCTGCAACGCCGCTTCCAGGCTCCCGGTTAAACTGAATATATCCCCTATCCCAACTCACAAACACGCTGGTTTGCTGCGTAATATATCAAAAGGTAAATAAAGTATAGTAGAATAGAATAAATAGAGTGAAATGGAGCAGAGCAGCCTGCTTCCAGCGAGCGATAGAATGATTGGTATCTATCACTCCCTTTACTACCTTGGGTTGATTTCCCGGCGCGGCGCTGCATACCTAGGTATATAAATATATACTCCAAACACAACAGGTACGGGGGTGAGCTCAGATATACTTCATACCGGACTATTGTATATATAGGTATACATAAGGTATGCTAGGGGTTGGTGGGTTAATATAGACACTAAGAGTGCCAAAGGATAAGCTTCATATCATATCATATTTTATTAACCCGCGCAGACAGTTAATCTAGACGTCGATCTTCATTTATACATATGTGCCATCTCGCAGTGTGTCGTGACGTGACTCTGCTCTCTTTCCTACCTACGTATGACATGACATGACATAACATGACATGACTCGCTACTTAGCTTCGCGTCAAGGGTACTGGGTAGGTGAGGAGGAGTACATATATATAAATATAAATAACAAGCGAGGAGCGCCCCGAAGAGCCGCACAGCACGCCATACCTAGCATCTATACTAACTAACAGGTAACTAACAACTTCTTCCCACGATTTCTTACAATCTCAAGATGAAGGTATTTACACCTAACTAGCCCATTCTTACATCTCCCTATAACCTCCATCCCATCTCCAGCACCAATTCTAACCCAAACAAACCCACAGTACACACTACCCACGCTCCTCCCCCTCTCCCTCCTCCTCGCCGCCTCCGTCTCCCCCGCCAGCCTGCCCTTAACAAAGCGCATGACCTGCAGCGCGGGCCTAGATAACCCGTGCCAAGACTTGTACGTGCCATCTTCTATACATCCCTTCTCTCTCTCTCCTGCCCCTTATCCCTACTCCCCTTTCCTTTTCTTGAGGTAGACCCATTAGATAGATAGATACATACCTTAGGTAGGTAGCTAACCGACTCTCCGCAAAGATGTCATTGCTCCGGCGGCAACGTCGCTTGCCACTACGACCCCACGTCCCGGTGCGTGCAGATGTGCACGTGCTAGGCATATGATTCTATGAGGTCGTGGGAGGCCTGAGTTATACTATATGGGTCTTATTAGTTGCTCGGTTCTCTGTTTCAATGGCACTAGGAAAAGGGGGAGGGAATAGATATCGTGTAGTGTCAAAAGGCCTAGTTACGCTAAAGTACGCGACAGTGAGCTGGATTTAATGTGCATGAGACTATTAATCGAGTAATGAATTCATTACTTGACAGGCTTGTATTTCACCTTTGCGTCGAGTCTAGAGAATTAAGAGGAAGATAATTTACTTCCGAGTTTGATATTCGAAAATATCGTAATAACACACCTAAAAGCCTAGCTCACAGCTTAAAATCCGAATCTTTTAGACCAGTCTCATACCCCCTTACAAAGAACACATTATAGAGGATCCCCCTTATATTTACCCTCCTTTTAAAATCAATTATAGCCTCCCCCGTATACTCATACACCATATCTATACAAATATCCAACACACACTTATCGTCTACTACTCGGTCCCGAAGCCGACTTTCTCCTTAACGATGTTGTGCTTCCCCAATTGCCCGCAGATTTCCTCAGCTTATTACCAAGGCTGATCCTAGCAGCCGACATTGGGTACTGGGGCTGCGGCTGATCTAATGGCTTGCCCTGTCCGTCCGCAAGGGGTATCTGTGCGCCGCTGGCAATCTTTTCCCAGTCGTGCCTATCGATCGAGCCGTGCTTGTAGATGACATATTTATCCTCCACCTCGACGTCTGACAGCTTCTGATTCTTTGTCCTATCTACAAATCCCTTAATGGAGGCCCACGTCTCGACTTGGCCATGACTCGCTTCTTCGATGCAGTTGCACTCGTCACCAGCAGGACACTCAGTCTCGCCGGCATCATGCCATTGCGCTATACAGGCCTCGTGGCTAGCACAACCGCATCCTAGGCAAGGGGGATAGAGCGCATCGATAGGCTCGTTACAGAATACGCATAACAACTGCATCTGCGTGCGTTTGCAACGATCGCAAGTACCAACTGCGCCTCCAAGTGACGCGCTAGCATGTGTCGACCGGATAGGATCTAGGTGGGTCTCATGTATGCGGCAAATGCCAGTTACATCGATGCCTTTATCAGATGTAATCAACGACTGCAGCAGCTCCTTCTTGCCCAATATAATAGGCGAGTTGGCACCGTGATGTGAACGGGAACTGTGACTCACATTCTCCACGTTGTGATACTCGTGGAAGCTAGCAGCCCCCGAACTTGCAAAACTATTAGCTTGAGGCCCAAGATGATCCTCTTTGAGCACGTTGAATTTCAAGATCTCGAGTCGAGCCAACGGTTGGTTCCACATCTGTAGCATTTCTGCGTACGCATGGCGGTAGCTTGCATATATAGCGCGACGGGAAGGCTCGAGGAAAGGAACACCAAGCCAGCCGTCGTCATCGAATATCGACTGGTCTTCCATTTCTGTAGATATACCATAGCATAATAGAGGTAAGGTATCGTCACTCCGCGCGTCGTCATCAGAATACGAGTTACGTGCAGTACCCGACGGTTCGGACGTAGGACCTATAATTGTTGAACTACCCCAAGTAATATTAGTTGGGGCAAGATTGGACAAGAATGTCTCTCCAGGGCTAGGGCGTTTCCGACTAGGGGGTGATGTTGATGCAACGCTCGCGAAAGCCCTAGGGAAACTAGCCAAGCCCGCAGTCAGAGCAGTGTTTGCACGACTTAGTAGCCTGTTATCTGGCGACGCGGCCAAGCTCTGGGTTGGATCGCCGTTCGGCTCATGAGGTGTCATCGTCGGCGGTGTATCACCACACGAGTAAGAATTGGATTTCGGATCGCCGCCCCATGTTACTTCCTCTGAACCGTACGAGCCGGCAAGATTAACAGGTGTGTGTAATGTCTTGGGGGTGGAAATTCCCGAGTTAGCTTGGCTCTTGTGATTATAGATGCTAGGGTGCCAAAGCGACGCATCTGTGGGGAAGTAATCTAAGGAGAACGACGGTGCTTTCATGGGGAGAGGCGTCTCCGGTTGAGTGAGGTGTGATTCCGCGTACGCAACGCCATCCTCGGCCGACGACTCGCTGAATATGCACGAGAGCATCGCAAGCATCTGCACATCGGCCATCTTCTCGAAGTAATAGAAAAGGTCGTCGATCAAACTTCTTGCGAGAGGATGATACCCCCATTTGACCCGGCCGTGTAGCGCGGTAGTATTAGAGCCTGGGGATGATGAGTTGTTATCGCCGAACCGGGCGGTGGCATCTTTGGCAATGACGAGTATTGATTCCCTGCCTTGGCCATCACCCAAAATCTCAAGAGGGATGTCCTTTCGAAGTAATAATGCTGCATAATTCCAAACGTCCACAAGATCGGACCGTCCATATTTCTCTGCTACGGTCGCATTGTGGGTGCACACGTCCGATCCATCCCCAAATATGCAATATTCTTGAGCAAACTCTTGCATGGAAGGCAACTCATTGGCAACATTATATATGGATATAATGTTCTTAGGCTTAGCCGGACGACGTTTACTAGTGCCAGTACCGGTACCCGTGCCAATGCCCGTTCCCCCACCACTTGAATGCATGGAATAACTGCCGCTGAACGTCTTTCTAAAACGACGACCCGGTAGATACCACATATTAATCTTGTGCATATACGTAGTTTCTGAGTCGCTCGAGCTCGAGGAATCGTCCCCGTCTTCTGAATCGGACTGATCCTCCGTCGCCGAGATATCGTCGTTTGTATATCTATTTCTCGGGGCGGTCGACTCCTGCTGGATTCTACCAAAGCCCGCGAAGCTAGGTTCCCCTTTAGGACGCTCCCTGTAAGAGTCCGCAGTAGGGAAAAAGGAAATCTTGGCTTTTTCTTCCTTAGTAGGGAAAAAACAGACCAACCTTCCATCATTCGAGAAGCGGCAGCCGCATAAGCGTGGCATTGGTGGTATAGTTGGTCTATTAGTGGGAGCAAGAGTAGCATCAAGCTCAGTGCTCGCGGTCAGCTCTTGGGACATAGTCGCAGAGCCACCAGCGGGAATATCGTTATCCTCTTCTTCACTTGAGCTCTCATCGGCGAGCCCACCGAAGTCGTCGTCCAGGTCCTTAACATTTTTAAAGAGCGAATCGCTACTAGAGAGATCGACTTCTCCAAGAAGATAACTAAAAGCCACCTCAAGACAGTTTTGTCGCTTCTTCGAGAACCGGCTTGTCAACTGATGGATTTCCTGTTCAAGCTTCTTATGCGTCTGGTCTGACATCAAGGCCGTCTTTTCAACCATGAATTTCGGTGCCCTTGATTTCGGGTAGTTCTTAGGGATGTCTACTCTGACTTTGATAAAAATGCTATCGCCATCTGCGCCCCAGGGACCTTTCAGGGAAGCTCTGAGGCTAAGGGAGTCCATATCTACGTTGTCCCATTTGACGTTTGGCATTTGCTGGTTGACACGAACAATCTCTTCTTGTAGCGCTTCTGGTTCCGCCCAATGCTCGTCATGAAAGTTATGCCCAAACATGGCAGAATCTCGGGATTCCTTTCTCTGGGACGCTCTAATGATCCCCGACTTCTTACTCATCGTGATACCCTTCATCCAACCAAGCTGGTCTAGGCTTCGATCGATTACCTTCCCGGCGACAGTTTTCGCTCTCATTGAAGGGCCTTTCCAACTTGGCATCGTGCCGCCGGACCGAGGATAGTTCGATGACATCGTCTGCACTCCCATAGTAAGAGCACTGCGGCGAAATTGGCCCCCGCCGCTTCCGGGACGAGGATCGCTCATAGTGGCTGATCTCTTTTCTCTATTAGCGTGGTCGTCAACGGTTCTATAAGTCTTATACGCAGCTCCCTTTCTCGTAATGTTGATATTTTGAGCTGGACAGCCCTTTATATGCCCGACAGACTCTAGGGTCTGCTGTTCGACTCTATGAAGGCGCAATTCATTGTCTTCGCCCCATGATACGAGCTGAAAATCCCGATTGTCTAGTCCGTCATCCGATATTGACCCACGAGCCCTCCACAGGAATTCCTTTACCTTGTGATTTCCATGTCCAGGAAAAACATTGCGTGGGTCAACAGCATCATCCAAGGCCTCCCCTTCACTACGCCGACCATCGTATAGGTAAAGGTTCCCTGGGTCATTTTGAGGCATAGCTAGTAGACCATAACCGAAAGGGGTATGACGAGCACGCCACACAGGAAAATCTGTCCGGATTATCCTCTCCGGTTCTTCGGATACGCTATAATCCCAGAATTTGATGCTCTTGTCCAGGGAACAAGTAACAATGCTAGTCGCCTTGCTACGATTCCAATCAAGGCCGTAGATCTTGGAGGTATGCGCACTAATAGACTTAAGAGGAGTGGATGGCTTCCTCTCGTCCCAAATGTGTAGCCACCTGTCATGTGATGAAGCGAGCACGTTGGGGTCTTGTCGATTGTACTTAACTTGGGTAGCTCCGGCGAACCAGTCGCAGAAAGTTAAGACGGGCTGCTTAGGTCTCCGCAAGTCCCAGCAATGCACATAACCATCGACCGCACAAGTGGCGAGCATGTCAGGGTGGTGGGCTGAGAAATTGATGTCTGTGATTGCCCTACTATGGCCTTGGAGAGAGTGCTCGATAGCTCCCGTCGCAGAGTCTTCCCTCAGATTCAAATTCCAAACTAGACAGCGATGATTGGCCGTCGAGGCCACCCAGTAATCCCGGGCCGCGAAAGGCGACCACTGCACGTCGACCACCAGCCAGGGGTGTCCATGACTACTTAACCGACGGGGTGGATTATAAGGGGCATCAAGGTCGATGATGGCTAGACCTTCGGGGCTTTGAATAACATGAGCATATACAAGTTATGAAGTAGATACAGTACTTTTTAACTTACGATGCAAGGGCAACGTCGCGGCCACTTGGTGATATAGTAGCTGATCCGACCAGTCCATCGACATGAATGGTTACATTGGCATCGAAGCTCTCGCTGTCGTAAGCGGACTTAGGAGCGTTCTCTTTGGACGTATCCAAGGTGCGGTCAAAATTTGAAGGCATGGCTATTTAATTTGTGGAAGCGCATGAGCCCACCGACAGAGCATCGAATTCTCGATGAATTTCGCATAACGCTACCGCCCATCCTCCATTCATGTGCACACGTTCTCTCAACTAGTATATCTTGCTTTTATCCTTCATTAGGTCGATTAGATGCACTGGGCGCGTTTCTAGGTAACGAATAAGATTGAACTACTGCGAGGCATCGTTATGACTCTTAGAAAGGTCGATAATATTGATATGATATCTCATGTAGGTGGAAAGATATTGATTACGTTAGGTTAGGTACGTAAGGTGACATTACAAGAAGTAGCCTTGAAGACAACCCTGATGGTGTCACGGCGCAGGACGTCGCGGTTCGTTGTTATCGATAGAGCAACCTCAAGTTAAATATTAAGCCTGGATTAGGTAAAGTGCAACTGTTAGCATGTCACTTGCCCCTCATCTATTGTAACCTTAAAATTACTATGTTAGGCACGTAAGAGGTTACTCATAGTGGGCCTCTTTCTATAGAAGTACAAGATTTGTTAGAAGACTTGTATAAATGTAATAAATATGGCATAACAAGGTAGCTTCGACATACATGTAGTAAGCAATAGGTCGGCTCATAGAAATATTTGAGGTAAAAGGTATGGATATTTGAGATAAACATTTACTAAGCCCATAAAGCAAATACACATATGTAGGTACCTAATATATATAAGTCGACCCCTAACAATTTACATATTTCGGTGTGGAAATACCAACGTCCGACGAATGAGGGGCAGCAACCTTAGGTAAGACCGTTAAGTTACAAAGTTACAAACGCCGTCACTGGCCGCCGGTCCTTATCAGGGAACATCCCAGTTGTTAGTCGCCAGTCTCAGTTCTTTTGTCCGCGACGTCGGATCAGCCACGAACTTTCTTAAACTTGAGCAGTTTAGATAACAGGTATTTATTCGGTTTCTTATATAACCCGGCCGTCTGTTTCCCTCCGGAATTCCTTCCAAAGAAGCAAACCACCTAGAAAGCACTAATAAATAAATAAGTGCTTCCCCGCCGTCGCCGATATAAACGGGCGATTGCAAATCCTGCTTTCCCTGATCTGCTGCTACCACCGGTACGCCCTGTGAAGCCGTGGCGCTCTTTAGCTTTCCGGCTCGTAGTATCACTTACTACCAGCCTCGTTAGCATTCGCCCAGACCTTTTTACTCCTCTTCTAACAGTTCAAGGTGTTGCCCGTACCGAATAGAACAACGTTCTTCTTATTTCTCCCGTTACCATACCGACCAGAATAACAGGATGGCGTTGCCTAAGCGTATCGTTAAAGAGACGGAACGTCTGATGACCGAGCCGTAAGATCTAGATGCCCGGGCCCGTGCTGAGTGTTTGCTGGGTCTTGATAACCTAACCGAGCGTTCACAGTGTTCCTGGTATCAGCGCCGTTCCCCACGAAGATAACCTCAGATATTTCGATGTCGAGATCCACGGCCCCTCGGGATCGCCGTACGAGGGTTCGTGCACCTCCCATTCCCCGTTCCGTGCAACCGATGGATCTGTTCACTGACCATTCCCCAAAATTCAGGAGGCGTTTTCAAGCTCGAGCTGTTCCTGACAGATGACTACCCGATGGTCCCACCCAAGATCCGCTTCTTGACCAAGATCTATCACCCCAACGTCGATAAGCTTGGACGTATTTGCCTGGACGTGCTAAAGAGTCAGACTCCTTTTTACTCCCTTTTCCATCCCCACCCGTCACAAAAGTTGGATCTGTTAACACTTTCTCCCCAGACAACTGGTCGCCCGCTCTCCAAATCCGAACCATCCTCCTCTCGATCCAGGCTCTCCTCGGTGCCCCCAACCCCGACGACCCCCTAGCCGCCGACGTCGCCAAAAGCTGGAAAGAGGACGAGAACAAGGCCATCGCGACCGCCAAGGAGTGGACCAAAACATACGCCGCCCCCCAGCCGAAGTAGAAGCGTAGGCTAATAAAGGCGGCTCGTAATATCTGCGAGCACCTCAGGCGTATATCAAGACACATCGCCCGTTTTATTCCCGTCATAAGGATCGATGGTCATCTAGACACGCTCTAGAGGTTGATGTTTCCGAGACTATGATGTCCGATTAGTAACCGTTAGATGGGAAGAGTTGAAGTACTACCTACCTATCCAGTCATCCAGTTAGCCGGTTAGCCGGTTGAGAATCTCTTACTTAAGGGGTCGAGGACTCCTTTCTCTTTTGAATTTTCATTAGCATGGAACTGCACTGGCATTCAGCGAATTGACCGGAAGGTGGACGGTGGGCGGTGGGCGGTGGGCGGTGGAGGGTTGTATGACATGCATCTAGCAATAGCGCAATTAAGAAAAAAAACTCATTCGGAACTTTTACTTGCTTTTGGCAAGTCATGGTGATAGATATTTAGTCCCAGATATTTCCAGACTGCTCTGGGGATGGAATACTATATCAACTGTACCATGATAGCATCATGACAGCCCGATCTCAAGACTTCAATCAGCAGTTCCTTAACTATCTTAAGTACAAGCAAGTACAAGCCCATACTATCCAGCAAACACTCCCCCCCTCACCTAGCCTCTCCCTTCGCTCTCTCGCTACGTATCACGGAACACAAAAACCCCCTTCCCAGGCCTAAACCCCTGCAGCGTGCCCTGCACCGCATCCTTGAGTGTCTGCACATCCGTCTCCCAATGCCACGGCACCTCGACGACGGGCGTATCGCGAAACTTGCCCTCGCGCATCAGCCCCAGGATCTCCGCCACCGTGCGCGCCTTGGACTCCGGGTCCCCGTCCGCCCACCGGCTCAGCCAGAACCCCACGAACCGGATATCCTTGAAGATGAGCAGACCCGTCGGCAGCGTCACCGGCTGCCGCGCCATGCCCCCGTACGTCACCATCGTGCCTCCCACACCCAGACTCTTCGCCATGGTAGACGCGCTCTTCCCGCCGACGCAGTTGAGGCCTAGGCGCACGCCCTCGCGCGCCCCGCGCGTCCACTCCGCCAGCTGCTCTCGGAACTCGCGGGATTGGAACTCGTCTTCCGTGACGACGTGCGTGGCGCCGAGAGCGGCGAGCTCGTCTTTCAGTTTCTGCGTGTCCTCGGGCGTCTCGCGCGCGCGCACGACGTTAATGCTGCGATACCCCCACAACTTACCCAGCTGGATCGCCGCGCGGCCGACGCCGCTGTTGGCGCCGTTCTGGATGAACCAGTCGCCTTCGCGCAGAGGGCTTGGGTCCTTAACATAGTCCCTTAGCATGCGGTACGCGGAGCACGGGTTTACAGCGACAGTAGCGACTTGTAGTGGATTAAGGCCATCTTTCTCGACTTTGATGACGGCGTCGGCGGGGGCGAGGGCGTGCGTGCGCCAGGTGCCGAATTGGGTTTTCTTGGGGATGACCCAGTCGCCGCGTTGCAGATCGGGGGATGACGAGGAGACTACTTCGAAGGCGCCTTCATTACCGGGGACGACGGAGGGCTCGGGGGTGCCGAGAAGAGTGCTGAAGGAGGGCTTAGCGCCGTAGGTGCCCTGGATGGTATTTACGTCTGCGGGGTTGATTGGTGCGGCGAGGGAGCGGAGGAGGACGGAGGAGGAGGGGAGGCTCGGGGAAATGGAGTGTGTATGTAATCTATAAACCAAGCAATGAGGAATTCGTTAGCCTAGTTATATGAAACTATCGCAAGATATTAGGTATAACTAAGTAAGACTCACTTTAAGACATCCTTCGGTTCACCATACTCGCTAAACACGAGTGCCTTCGCTTGCGTGTAGCCATACGGTCCAGATTTATACCGAACTTGCATCTGCGACACCGGTAAGACTTTTGTATTGACTCTGCATTGGCCTGGTCGAATCGAGCTCTTAGCTAAAGAATTAGCTATTCCTTGCGCCCTAAGCGGTCGGATACTAGCCATATTGCCGTAGACGTTGCAAGTTTAATCGTGGGACAAACATTGAAGTCCCCAAGTTTCGGATGGAGCTAGTTACCTAACTACCTACTGATAACAAAAGTTCGGAGCTCTGGAAGCTGAACTCGGCAATGACGTTATATCTTATCATAGCATTGCCGAACCTTGTTACGATTGGCCCAAGCTAGAGCTATTCGCTAGGGCTTACCAAAAGCATGCTCCCCTTTTTAGATGTTTAAGTTCAGCCTCTATACTTGCATGTACATGTATGTACCTCTCTAGGTTAAGTTAGACCGAATTCTATCTACATATAGCTACCATATGTGATCACTTAAGAGAAGACATATCATAGTCACATAATAGGTAATAACTCAAAGGCGAGGCCATATGATCTGATTTGCCTGATCGTCTCCAGACTTAAATGCTAAAGAACAAGAGGGATTAAGTAAATACGTACGTATGTACGTAGGAAATGTCAGAAATTCGATGCCTTCGCGCCAAAGATGCACAATTTCACAAAAAAATGGTGTAATCCTCTCCAACCGGAAGGTAAATATGAACTCTCCCGCTATCGTGACACATAAGCACATAGCCGTAAATGTTAACCGTTAGATGAAGAAATCGCTCCGTAACTTCTTTGCCACCTTCTGCCAACTCTAACATATTTTCAATCCTCCACCGTCCTCCTAGGAGTGATCGCCTTCCGCGTCCATTAGGAATCGAATCGTTGGTAGTCCCCTTTTACCAAGAGAATAGTAGGACAAAAAAAGTACCCCCAAACCAAAGAAATAAGCGGGGGGCGAGGGAGCAACACACATAACATACATCGGTCCTTTTTCCAGATGCTCTTGATGTAACGCACTTATATGACGCGCGTGAGAAGATTTGAGAAGGGAAAGAATAAGAATGTCGAGTGAAAATAAAATGATGGGGAAATACTTGACAAGGTATGTCGATGAATGAGCTCGCGCAGGAGCTGGGTATCTAATATTCCACTGTCCAAAAAGCTTTTTCACAAAAGCAACGCCTCCTCCGCTCGCCTCGAAAGAATCTCCATGCCAAATGTCAAAAAAATTACTTCGCCGTAAAATAATGACGGCTGTTTTGAACTTAATATCCAAGGCTCATGAAATGCAAACGCAGGCAACCAAAACACGGCCGTAGATGGGGTATCATATGTTGCAAAACAATTCCCTATTTGATTCCCTTAAATAGGTCATCGCCGAGATGAGTATCGACTTTAGTTTTAAGGGCGCTCAGCTCCGGAATCATCGGCGGCGGGGGGCCGGCCGGCTTCTTGGGTTCCTCGATCGGGTGTTCGAATACTTGACTGGCCCTCTTGGCAGTGTCGTTCGACCGTAACCGTTTGAACCAACCGCTGGCGCGCTTCGACTTTTTCTCTTCCGCAATCGTACTTGCTGTCCGGCTCGGAGGTCTCGAAGTACCAGGGCTAAGAAATGATCCTTGTTCATCGTAAGCATTGTTCAATAATGTTCTGCTAAGCAGGCGTCTAAGGCTTCCACGGTTTGACGGCACGGGGGACGCGGGACCATCTTCTGCTGGGCGCTTTGTGCCGACATTGGCCGTGATAGTGTCAATTTCGGGTTTGTTAGGGAATGTACCGTGACCATTAGCAGAACCATTTGTTTCCTGCTTCTTCTCGACCTCTTCCCGGAGTGGTGTCTTCGGCGGCGACGGAACCTCTTCCTTGGGCAATGCCTTGGGCAATGGTACCTCTACCTTGGGTGACGGTGCCGGTGCCTCTTCCTTAGGCGATGGAGGCGACGGAGGCGGCGGCGGAATATCGGTTCCGTCGGTTAGGGAGCCAAATTTGAAATCCAGAGCTGGAAGCTCAAAACGTTTGGCAGACGATGTTGCCGCAGCGCCATTACTTGTGGCGGACATGATTGGAGCTAGAGGAATGCGCTGACGAAGTACGTCAGGAACGGAGTCGGACACGGTTCGCTATCGCCTGTGGAGTGATCTAGACGTCTTGAGGTCAGGATGAGTGTATCGAGAACAAAACGACCAAAACAAAACCTAGCGCACGAGCTGGTAGGGGGGTGAAAAGAAAATAGTACGAACCGTGAACGCACGGGGCTCGAGAAGAAAGTGGCCCCCAGAGATCCAACCGGCTCGGAGATTCTCGCAAGTTTTCAATGGTAGAAAAGCACGGGGTTTTGTGTACTAGGCGTTTTCAGCGAGGGGGAAGTCAATAGCATCCCGACGCAACGCGATTGGTAATGAAGGCAATTGAGAGAGTAGCGAGAGGTCCAAAGCAGTAGGAGAAACAAAGCCAGCGGCGCGGTGGGTTCTGTTTTCTGGGTGGATAGACAGAAAGAGGGAGGCCAGACCAGACCTAGAATTGCTAGGATCAAGGGTGTCGAGAGAGAGAGAGCGAGCGAAGTTGTGGCTGGGATACCTCTTAGTGTACTTTCGTAGCTTCGTAGTCACTCTTTAAAATGAAATGATGTGCTTTAAGACCGTGCACACAAAAAAACTTAGAATTGGGTTTGTGCGAGATGGAAATGCGATTTTACGTCGATCAATTCAGATCAGATCGGCTTGTTAGGTAAAACGATGTTAAATATGCGAACTCGAGGGGGTGGAAGCTCGAGGATAACTACCTATGTATCTCGTTCTCAATGGCTGATCAAAAACTTAACGTGATGTTGAAGGGTCGAAGGGTCGAAAGGTCCCTAGATTTCTCTACAATGGCTTAGACGTGGATTTTAGTCTAAAAAGCTAGATCAGAATCGGTACCTTCCAGGAAAAGATTTACCGACTAAGCCTGCGAAGCTAGGTGGAGATAACCCCGATAAGGAAAAGTCGTACCTATTAACCTATTTTTGATTGAATTTGGATTGAACTTGGTGTACGGATTACACGACCCCATTTTAGTCTTGGTGGTACGAGGTACATGTACGGAATACAAGAAACAACATCAGACCATTGAACAGTCTTAATAAAGATCAATTCGTAATTCGTTCGTGGGCATCTGATCTTCCCAAAATTTAACCTTAAGTTTACTTTACTTGAAAGATAACACGAGTGTGTCCACGTATGGAGTTCCAAGTACGAAATATCACGACCAGCCCCCGCTTTATGTACCGGTAGTCAACTGCGCCTCAGATAAACATGGTACCCAACATATGTAGGTACCTCATACCACATATCCGAAGAATACGGGCAGTATGTATTCTTATAGATTTCTGCTCTAGCAAACAAGAGATCAAGTCTAAGCCAATATACTCAACTTATATTTCGTGTATAAGATGCGACGTGTAACTAGCTTAAAGAAGCCACATGTCGACGAAGTAAGGTATTCTATTGTTAGATATCAAGACGTTGGGGATGAAAAAAAATAAAGGGGGAGAAGGGCTTACGGCGGCTCCAAAGACTTGGAGAAGGGATGCCAAGACTCCACATCCACATCCACAAGCACCGATCGTTCAATACGTAAGTAGGTATGACGGTAGCGGGGCTAACGATGGCTTCTAGAAACAATGCTGATAGGCTGAACGACGTGTTCAGTTCAATACGTGAGCCAGTCCACAAGGTATGAGACGAGACCGCTTCTCAGACGCCCAAGATCTTTAGCAAACGGGGTTTTCACGTTGTAGCTGCAGCATTCCGCATGTCTGTTTCGCATAAGAGCCTTGCATATCCTGCTGTTTGTATTGCGTGTTTACGCTGGGTATCTTGTATCGGATGGAACCGACATAACTTGGACACCAAGCAAACGCCTGTTGGCACCATCTTGACCAAATCAATGTAAACCCACCGAATAAACCATACATAACCCTCCAACGACTCTAAGGTCTAAAAGCTTGGACCCAGTCATGCAGTCGATCAATAACGACAGGCATGATACCGTTAAGACTGTCCTCCATAATCCCATCCAAGTGTCTAATCGCATCCTCTTCATTCAATTCTAGATGGAAACGCTCCTTTACCTTGAATACCGCCTTGTCCGGCTCAATCTTGATGTCCGGGATATTAGCATGGACCATTAGACTAAACAGGTTGAGAATTAGGTTCGACGATTTCCGCAGCGCTGCGAACGCTAGAAAGCAGTATTGTTTAAACTGCAGATACTGCTCGCTCGGAGGATTTGAGCCGCCCATCGCGTCGGCCATCTCCTTGCTGAGCTTGACTGCTGGTGCAAACGGTTTAGGGTCCCGGCCGAGGATAAATCCGAAATCAGCGTGAAAGAAATGCCCGTCTGGTGTTAGGAGAAGGTTGTCGAGATGTCGATCACCCACTCCTAATATATAAGTGATTACACAGTAGCCCGCGCACGATTTTACAAACGTGTCAAGCGTTTCCTTCCGTACCCCCAAATATGCTCGCTCGTCAGGATTATGCTGCTTGAGGTAGGCAAGAGCAGGGTTGTTACGATATTTGTAAGCGATTGCAGCAAATGTCTGGGACGGGATAAACTGAGAAGCTCCAGCAGTTGTACTGGTTGCGAGAATTTTGTAAGGTGTCAGTTTGAGATCCAAGTTCTCCTTTTGGAGTAGTTGATCCATGAGGGTGATGATCTGGATAACGAGCTGGTCCTGACGCAGGTCGTCGCCAGTCTTGAAGATGATGGGGTACTTGCTTCCTGATATTGTCTTGAATGTGACCATGATTGGCGAAAGAGACGACTTAAAGACCCGCGTCTCTTCCGGAACGACTCCTGTCACCATGACCGACGGGTCGAGGGGTATAGGTACGGCCGGGTCAATAGATAAGAGTTCGTTTTTCGGATCTGCTAGGAAATTTTTGACTTTATCAGCCTTGCGGGCGACTGACTCATTAGAGGCCTGGATTTCGGCCGAAATTTTAGATAAGACTGTAACAAGCTCGGCTTGTCTTCTAATGGTTACTCTCGTTTCGCGGCCACCTGGGCGGTCCTCAAGTTCCTTCATGAAGTCATATTGAACCTTTGCGTACATGGTACGGACTTCCTCGCCTTGTTCGTTGCTCTTGTCGTCATATTCAACCCCAAGGTACCAGTAAAAGTAGTTTCCAAGGGTGAAGTTCTGGACAGCTCGAGAAATCAAGAAATTTGCCAGGGAAGATGCTCGTACAGTAGCCTCATTGGAGTCAGCTGAGATATGTTCGAACTTCAAAGCTTGAACTAGTTGTAGTAAGTAAAGGAGCAGCTCGTGGTCATCGGCCTTCCTCAGTCGGTCCACAGCATACGCTCTTACGGCCCGGTTATCAAAGGTAGGACCGAGCAGCTCAAGCGCGTCGTCCACATCAATATCAGTCCATTTACCAAGAACTTGAATTGCTTGCTTAGATTCGCTCTGGTCCTGCCAGTTAACGGACTTGACAAACTTCGTGAGAGCCCTCTTATCCTTAGTCAAGTGGTAACGAAACTTCCAGACAAGATCCTTTTCTTCTGGAGTCAGAACATGGGTGGGCGAATATGACATAATCATATTAAGCTCATCGCGAACCTTTGCATTAGGTCTCAAGTCTTTGTCTAGTATTCCATGGCGATGCTGACTCCTGACTAGGCGTCTATGCTTGCTTTCTGCAGGATTATCCCGCGCACCAACTTCAGGATCGTATATTCTGACTATGCGACTATCCATCCTGTTTCCTGCGTCACCAGGTCCATTGATCCCAGGGCCATATGACACCTCGGGAGGAGGTTTTAGAATAATATTCGATTGAGAAGCTGAAAGGTGTTGGAAAGATGAGATGGGCGGCGGGGGATATTCGTGATCTGCGAACACGACAGGAAAATCAAAGCGAGGCAGTTCGACATTCAGCATGAATCTCGATGGGCCAGGTCTCGGCGGATTTTCAGCCGCTGAGTCGGTAGTTTTATCTTTGCCCCCATCCTTCCCAGCATCCGTGGTCAGCGTCGCTTGGCGTTGAATTGATTTGACTGAGTTCTTTGCTGCTTTCAAGCTACGCTTCTCGGTTTCTCGGAATACAAGCTGGTCAAGCCATTCAACCCTAGGTATCTCATTCATCTCGTGCTTCTTGAATAATTTCTCTAGACGTTCAAGCTCTTCAGTTTCCTTGTCCACGAGGGTGTCATCTTTTTTTGAGGCACCTCTCTTCTTCGCTATGCTCGACGGGGTAGTAGTATTATCATTTCCATCTGCCTGTTTGTGGCGGTGAACGAGGCACTTCTGTCTGCCTTTCTGGAGCTGGTTGTCCTGGTCGAAGAGTGGGAGCGTCGTCCCGCCAAAGGGAATCGCGTGACCCTGAGCTTGTTTCCCGCCGGTAGGGGAGAGGTCCCATATTGTTATTGCAAGGTATGAGTTAATCGGGAGAGATTTGTATGGTATCGGCAGGTCAAGCCATTCGTTCCATCTAGGATGTATTAGCCAACGTATCGAACCACTTAAAGACATGTACGCAATCACACCTTCTTTCATTGCGAAATGCCTTGTACGATGTTTGTATCGGGACGGTTAGGGGCTTGGAGCCAGCCCATACTTGGACAGTAACATAGAGATCGGAATGTGGGCTATATGAGCTTCAAGTTAGCATGACGTTGTATAAGTACTGTTTAGCTACTCGTAATGCACACACCTCAGATTAGAGCCTATATGTCTAAGTTCGGGCCTTGATAGCAATGTCGAATATAGATGTGGTGTTTCGTCGCCCTCTAGATTAATTCTATATAATACATGTTAGTTGTCGATAGCTGGTCGCAACTAGGAAGCAATCCTCTTACATGCGTATGCTGACTTGACGGTCTAACGACTCCGAGCTAGCAAAAGAAAAGGGTTCCATTATGGGGATGCTTGTTCCATAATAGCTTCGGGGTCGTTGATATGGGGAGTACGATAGTAGTTATTAACAAGGAGCGAGTTAGATGTATTGTCGTGATATACGGAATACGTTATGTTACTTAAGGTTAAGTACGCAAATGATGGGCGCATGTGCTTAGCTTTAAGTAGAGTACTGACTGTACTCGTCCCTGCCGTCATAGCAGATGACTTCCAATCTTATCAGACAGCTTAAACCAGTGCCCCTCTCCACTTAGCTTCCCGTACTATGTACTCCTGCCGCCCCTGCGCCCCTGCACCCTAACACTGCACTTTACTCCAGACCCACAATATTTCTAGATCTTTGGAAACTTTAGCAACTTTGCGTTTGTAATTCTGCGTTTGAACTTTAACCGATTCATATTAACTTTTGAGCAGATGCGTGAGGGATTCTCTTCTTGTAAAACCGGGCGATACACATTTTAATTAACCTTCCTTAGCCAAGTTTTAAAATAAATCCCCTTACATCCTCAAGCAGGACAAAGCAAGTTTGTATCCAACCTTGGAAGTATTCACATCAGCCACGGTACGAGCCACACAAACAGTTCATTATTCAATTTATTTCAAGTCGCGTTGAGGCTTGCCCGGGACGCGACTTACGCGTCTCATTATCGCGAAGAGTGTGATTGCGTATGGAGTCATGACATATGCCAGCAATCAACATCTCCGAAACCGACTAGAAGTCTTCGCGGATAAGATATCCGTATTCTAACCGTTTACTCAAACATATCACCGGGTTCTGCTCCTTTCAAGCGCCTAGTCAACTATGTCATCCAGGGGCTCCTCTCCCGCGCTAGGATCATCCGGCTCCTCGCCAGATCCTGATAGTCGCCATAGTTCATTAGTTTTCCGAGATAAAGGAAAAGCGACCGAGAGCGCTTCCAAAAGAAAGCGGACCTTAACTAATGGCGCAGAGCATGCCAATTCGCGGCAGCGTACGCGTGAGCCGGATGCTGAGGGCGGAGTTGAGGGAGAAGATTTCGACCCAGATCAACCCGCGGAAGAGAGACGCTACCTTCATCGCGGTTATCGGGATCTCTTCCAGAATCTCTACGAGAACAACGATGAGTATCTAAAGGGAGATTCAACGGGGTTATACGATACTCTATGCAAAGCAAATGTGCTGTCGTCAGGTGTGAAGCAAACTGCAGAGGCAGTCATGGATTCCAAGCTTCTAGTGAGCACGGCGGATGCATCATACCGCAAGACAGTCCGCCTAACTGCGGGCAATATTGCTCAAGGTGTTGATGTAGACGAGTTCGTCTCAAAGTGTATCACTTACATGAGACTAGGATCTGGGATTACGGAAGACGACGCACCAGAACTGACTGCCACACAACAACATCGGAGGAGGCCGGGTCGGGGAGCACTAGGGGACGAAGGGGATGATGATGACGACGTCGGCGACGAGGGTGATATGTTCAATTGGGAGCATCTTGGTCGATTCGCTTGCCTGCCAAACATTAAACGCCCAGCAACACCAGGTTTCCTCCTCGGTCCCCTTTCTGCCGAGGTGAAGAAACGAAAAATTGTCAAACGTAGTGCACCATTCAGACCCAACAATCTACAGGAAACACGGCCTGAGGTTCTAGATGCTGAAGCTGTACAAAGATCGGAAAAGAATGACCTTACTACTATCTGCTCCAAGATTCTTCAGAAGCTGAAGCAAGCGCAGGAAACAGCCCAGGATGCCGTGGAGGATGCCGTTAACCGCGGTGCAACCGACGAGGAGGCGCAAAGACTAATGGACCGCTACGGCCTAAGAGATACGGGCGGTATAGATCTCTTGAGATTCGTGGTAAATCCACGATCCTTTGGGCAAACTGTGGAAAATATGTTCTACGTGAGCTTTCTTATTCGAGACGGCCGTATTAAAATCGACTTCGACGAGAATAATTTACCAACTCTGGGTAAGTTAAGACTCGTTTAAAATTTTTCTATCAACATGCTAACTTCACTCAAGACCCAGTCGATCGTGAAGATGAAACGGCCGCCTCCAAGCATCGAGCTCAGAAACAGCAAGCCGTGTTCTCCATTGATATGAAGACATGGCGTGATATCATCAGCGCGTTCAACATCACTGAACCGATCATAGAACACCGTAAAGAAGAAAGCAACCAAGGGCCTGGGTCTCGGGGTTGGTACAATTAGTGCTGGTTTCGCTGTCAGTCACGCTTATATCGTAATGTGTATCTGGACCTCCTAGTGCGGGTTCCAGTTGTTGATTCGACTGAAGCAAAGCCCACATGAAATAGACTCTAGTTGATGTGTATAACTAATAGACAGATACCCCCAAACTGGTGGAAACCCCAATTGCAATAAAACCAAACTTGTACACTTGATTAGTGATAAACTGCTCTATAACAAGCTCTGATCCTTGAGCATGTCTATTTTGAAAGATGCAATTACGAAGCTTCACACCGAGGCGTCGTTTATGGAGCTTGCGAGTGAATTAGGCCTACGAGATCCGTTAGCTTGTGAGGAGACAGTGGGGGACCAAAGCGGCGGACCAGCAGGGCCTTCAGGTAACAATACATACTATTTATCATCCCCTTATTAATATATACGAATAAACTCCTAGAGGTAGAAACCTGGGATGGCTATATGGATAACATTCTTATATTCACTAGGCGATTGCTAACCCAAGTATATAGGCTATTGTTGAGGGTACTCCGGTAGCTCGATGGCTTTATGAAAAATGCAGCCTTCGCGCAAATATTGAAGAAATGCGCTTCGACGTTGGAGATGAATTCGCTGGCAGAAGGAAGCCGAAGCTTATATTCATGACACGAGAGCCTAGGAAGTAGGTTAGACTGGGCGCTTAGACGCGAAGACCATAGAGTCTATTTTTACGTAGTCCCAACTTCTCTGGGGTCACCTTGAGATATCGTGAAGCAACTGTTATTCACAGCTCTAGCTTTCTAATGCATAGTAAAGACGCATCGACAATTATATTGCGTCTAGAAACGATCTAGGGTATCTACCTAAATATGTCCCCTACTACTAATCTTACAACTCGCTCCTGATACCTAAAGGGATTACTACATACTATAATGTTTCTCTATTGAGACCAATCAGAGGCCAAACTTGACGAAGGCACTTCAACATCCATTTACTGCGTCTCTGATCTTGTATTCTTCTCTCATATGCATCGTACCTAGGTAGGTACCTAAACTATGTCGGGGAACCCTGGCAATCGAGCATCCTTAACAAGTTCGCTCAAATGCCTCACGATTGGGTATTTGAGTTGGGCGAGCGTCGGCATAATGATTTGTTGTTAGACGTCGACTGATATGCAATCGTGAATTATTGGTATGTCGTTTATGAAGAGAGGATAAAGGGAAATATTGCGGATACTTCGTATGGATACGAATATGTCCGGAGGCCCGAGTTTCCGGATGAGTGTTGAAACTTAAGCCGTCACTATCTCTTATCTACGAAGCTGACGCCAAAATTTAAATCTGACGTAGATCGCGAATATAATCGGCGTGTTTGGCGGGTATCGTCGTATAGAATGGGAAACGAGCCCATAGTGATATACAATTATTGAAGACTTGAGACAAGTCCAACTTGAGCCGCGAGATACCAGTGTTAATCCGTCTTCATTGGATCCATCAAGCGCTGGTGCTGAAGTAATAATTATCCCACAGGTACTCGTAATCTTCCAGTATGCCAGCGACCAGGCTAGGCATACGACGACGCACTCCACATATAAGGCCCTTGGTGACATGCTCATAGAAAGCACCCCTCATAATCCACCAACCGGCCGCCCAATACCTCTTACCCCATTCTTCGTTCTCTAGAGCAGTGCTGCGTAGACCCCGGTCGCGTAACTGCCGCGCTGCGTATTCCATACTTACCCCGAGTATCCAAGGCGTCCAAGACTTCTTATCTTTACACCTTGACAATGCAATAGCGTATACCAAGGGGGCGAGAATGTGTAATATCTCGGCAGTCTGCCCGGAGCCAGATAGCGTGTTTAGAAGCTTTGCTGCGGGTTTGATGTCGTCTGCTGTTAAGACCCGGCTCATTAAATAAGAGCTGATATCTCCAGGATTTGGTAAGCTTGGAAGACTGGCGCCGGTTCGTGGCATCGTCCATTCTTTCTCGTGGGCACTCTTGGCAGATTCATCCATGTCTACGGAGGACGTATCTTCACCCATTAGCTCCTTTAGCGCCGCATCATCGTTTTCGTCCATTTCCGGGGGAACTGGATCTCGTTCTGGTAGTGCTGGTGTAACGAGCGGTCTTGAATTGGTGACTCTCATTAATAACAGGCGACAGAAGGCTTTAATAATCTCCAAGAGGATGATGACACGCCAACGAACTTTCTCCCCCTTGCGTTTAGCTGCCATCTCCCATAATAGCTCGGTATACTGAACAATTTGCAGCAACAGGGCTATTCTCCGATATAACCTGCTCTTTCCTGTCCAAAATCTGGTGTAGCGGGTATGTGGGCTTGGTACTTTGGAAGCTAGTGCGGGGATTTTCGTTACAGCGTCTCGGAGGACAGCATCGTGATAGAGGGATAGTAGTTGAATACCCGAGTGCAGGGTCTCCGAGGCGATCTCAGCGTCACGAAATCGGCCAGGTATAATATACGTCAGGGATCGTAATGCGCTCTCGATCTGGGAAACTTGATGGGCGTTTTTCGTGATGAAGTCGCCATAGATATTGAGCCATTGCGGAGGTGTCGAAATCTTGCTCTGGGTTGGTTTCTGAGGTTTACCGGGTGGTCGTGATGCGCCACCACTGAAATGATCAATAGATCGCGACATGATGGGGGTATGTTATTATTACACTACACTGTATAGATGGAGTGAGATTCAAATTTAAGACATGTGAAAAGAAGTAAGGAAGCAAGAAGAAAAAGACGAATGAATCAATATGCAGTTCGCAACTGCACAGTTGATTGGATTATGATCGTGATTGATGATGTCGTAATTGTGATAAGAGGTAGTTTGTAGTTGTGGGAAAGGCGAAAGCACATTTAATTGTTAGGCTCCATCGCGTCGTTACTTCTTACGCTTCTGTCATTACCGCTTCTGTCATTACCTCTCCGCCTTGCAGTTGCCTCGGTTCGGCCCAGGTTCTGAATTTCAGCTGGGGAAATAAGCTCAGACCAGTCTGTTATCTGTTAGTGCACTCGGTCCTCCAAGCGCTTACCTAATAAACAACAAATTCAGAAATACATACCTATGGCACAGCGCTTGAAGCTAACATCTTTAACCTACAACCTATTAGTTACAAGACTAATCTTATAATCCTAAATTTTGAAGAAATAAATTATCTATGAGTCGGGCAGTATTCTCTCTAAGTTCTATGTTTTAATTATAATTATGGGACGTACAGTTGTCCTAGGTATTGTTTCCATCCGTCTCCCTTCCCAACATAACCAATATACATATCCGGCCTTACTACCACAGTGAAGTTATCCTGGGCAGTAACAACATCTGATGAGAATATTCGCACTTCATCTTGGGAACCATTAATATGACCATTTACTGGAGTCTGTGCCGAATCGCCGGCGCGTAGTATGAGATACGTGCAGATGTCCCTGAACGACTGAAGAACCCCGGACTCTCCTACGAAGAGGACCAGATACTTCCCGTACGAGGTGATCGAATACAGACGTATCACCTCATCGGTTCCAGTGCCGACGAGCTGAATATCTGGACATCTCTTACCAGCCTTCCATATACTTTGTTCAGAGTCTTCGATTAATTCAGATCCAACCCCATCATAAGAGACCCCCATTCCTATTTTAATATTAGCACATTCTTGCCATCGGGAACTATTTCACGATTATCCTTACCAGTGATATATCCCGCATTCTTCTCAATCGTAGAAACATACTGTTTTGCAGTATGGTTCGTGTCTCGGACTAAAGTCGCTGCAACATCAATGACCTCCTGTGCTACTGCACGGCGCTCAGTATCATAGCTGCGTATCAATTTTACCGCGGCACTAGAGGTCAAGTTGGCATTCTTGATTGCAGCTGCGAGACGCCAACCAAGGCTAAAAGCATCTGCAATACCTGTGTTTAGACCTTGGCCACCGTTTACCGAGTGAACATGGGCTGCATCACCTGCTAAGATGATACGGCCCGTTCCTTGATTTGAGACGAACGTGGAAGCGATACGTTCTTTGACTAAATACCAGGGGATGCCATTAGTGCGTTATTCTCGATCATGTCTGGGATTACAAGGGGAAATGGGATCGCTTATGGTGAATCTTCCTACCATCGAAAGTTGAAAACCACTCCGTCTTGACGAAATCAATCCTATGCGGCGCCATGTGTTCCCTGATCGAGTCTTCCGCCCTTTTCTGCGTGATTTCTCCATCGAGAAGAACGTAAAACCTCGCCATGCCTCGCTCTCGAGGGATCCACGATACCCGGGACTGGCCTCTAAGTTGGAAAGTAATGATTTCTGAGCATAGAGGAAAGTCGGTATCAATAAACGTGTCGAGCACCGCCCACACCATCTCAGGCTTCGTTCCGGTGAAATTAATATTCAGCGCTTGGCGGACTGTTGAGCGCGCACCATCGGCGGCGATTGCATATTTACTATGGACTTTACGTCCGCGGTCCGTATTCAGTGTGACACCATCTTTGGTCTCAGATATAGAGACAACTTTTTCCTGGTAGTATACAGGTAAGTCTAGGCTATCCTTAAGCACTTGCTCTACGACAGACTGGCCGATCATCAAAAAGTTGGGATGAGCACAATGTTCAAGCGACGTCCACCAATGGCTCTGGCGAGATTTAAAGTCACCCTCCGAGAATGTCGAGCTAGCTATACAACGTGAGTTATCAAGGGCCTATCAAGAATTGACACAACTTACTATTGCATTTGATTCCAAGTGGAAGCAGTTTATTTAGGACCCCTACTACCTCGAGGTATTGTTGCGTGCGTGCATTCAGGGCATCTGCTCGGCCCACCTCCAAGGGTCCAGATTTACCGTCTAGGACATCATCAGAGAACGAAAGACTAATTATTATAGAATCCTAACACACCTATAATCCTCACGGACAAGCCTAGGCGGGTTGCGAGAAGCGCGGAGAGAAGTCCGGTAGGGCCACCTTATTCCAACATTAGCTCTCAGGTACGCAGCGAGAAAAGTTGAACTTGGTAGCAAACCTCCAATAATTGCCAAGTCAACCTCTTCCTCAGGCCATAAGTTCGGTTCATTCTCTGCCATGGTCGGGATATTAGAATAGCGTCTTAACGGCTTGGAAGATCGTTCCGACATTGTGAGGGAATGATGAATCTTAATGAGGCAACTATCGGGAATAACGTGGAATTAAAAGAATTCCGAATTGGAAATATTCTAAATTGGGAAAATTACAAACAGGATAGCACCCTGAAGCCCCTTCAGGGTGCCATAATAACCCGGATTTACTGCTATTACACGGTTGGACAACTTGAACACCCTCAATCTCAGCACCCTATTACCCCAGTACCCTCAACACCCTCAACACCCTTGAGACCTCGAGAGCAAAAAGATACGTGTTTCAAGAAAAAGACAAGTGGGGGCTTGGAAGGACGTAGGATGCATCTGCATCTAATAAAAAGCTTTAAAAGGCTATGTACAAACGAACTTCCTATTTCGAAAAAGGTAGCTTGAGATAACAACCCTCATAAATTCGGACATACAAGCTGTATTCGAATATGTACACCGGAGAGGTGCCACTGCCAAGTCTGACCTTTTTTTCATTGCGCCAGCCTCTAAACAACGAACGTACGATGCGCGAGGAAAAAAGCGTCTCACCGACGGGCCTGTCCGCATGAACCCCCCGGACTTCAAGGTCAACACTATCGCTCTCTTGATTCGGGACTCGGTATGCCTGTTGTATTTACGGTATATTTATGCATTACTGCGGAGACAGTACGAGGTAAAACTACTCTACAGCCCGGGTTCAACTTATTAAACATCCTCTTTAAGAAGGAGGATGAACTTCTCGGTTCTACAAAGAGCTTCATGAAGCATAGTCTAGGCTTGGGGAACATCACATGCGCATATGATGGCGCAGAAATCTGTGAATAATGCGAAAGCACCACGCTGGCCAACGTTATATTGAAGCAAAATTTCTTGAATACTGGTTCGCTTTAGCCGTTGCCGGAAGGACATACTATGGAGTGTCGCCAGCTATTGGCCTGCTATAAAGCTTAGTTCGTTAATTTGCAACGCTGCGGCATCGCCAAGTCGGCTCTTTCTCTGATAGCTGTACCAGGGGGGTAAAGAACTCACCGTATCGCCACTAAGACCTGAGGACGCCTCGGAGGTCGAGCCCCAATGTATCTATCATATGTATCATGCAATGGGTCTGCATTCTCCTGCAAAGGTAGACTTAAGTTCATAGGTTCGACCATATCCGACCATCAACCGTGTTGTTGAATACTACTCACAATATGCCGTCTGTTTTGAAGCTCGACACTGCCGATGACTTGGCATTTCCGACAGCTCTGGCTGATAAGCTGGGAGATATAGAACCCTCCTATCTTGAAACTGCTTCGAGTATCTTAAGTGTCATCTCGCGATATAAGCTTGCAGATGACGCATTCTTAGCTAAGAGCCACGATGGAGTCAACTTTCTGGCCCAAATCTACTCTAAGGTCGCGGTCAGTCAGGCTATCCACATGTGCCTCCCTGCTTTCCCCTTCAAGTCGCCAAACAGAAGCACCAAGGTACTTGGACGTCTCCCTGACAAGGCGGAAGAGTTTGCGCTCGCACATCTTAACGGCTTATGCGCCGCCATAGGTGATATCTACGCACCAGGCGCAAGGCTAATGATTGTTTCGGATGGGCTTGTTTATAACGGTATCTAACCCTTAAGACACTTTATATATGCTACTTAATACTAATAAGAGTGAAGACCTCCTAGGAGTGCCAGATAAGGACGTCTGGGCATATGGTGAAGCTCTCCGAGCATTAAGGGCGAAAAAGGGGTTCCGCCATATCGAGTTCTGCCGTCTTAAAGACATTGTAAACGTAGACGTCCCTAACGAGTTGGATGAAATAAGATGTAAGCATAAGTTCTACGTCTATCCGTATATACTAGAAGTTGAAATCATTTTCAACATTGCATTATTGTCCTTTTATCCACAGGCAGATGCTGACGCCGACAACTTAGATGTCGCCAACGCTACCAACTTCCGTCACGCCCTACTACAGCAATTCAGCAAGCCCGGGTATAATGTATCTCTCAGAATATCAGAGGACGAGGACACTTGCTTAACATATAGGGGGTATATCAAATTCCTAGAGACCGACCTTCAGAATGTGTACCCGGTTGGCGAAGGGCGGAGTAAGTCGAAATACAAAAGGGGTGTCGAGTATATTGCCAAGCAGATGCTTACCCGAGGAGATGTAAGCTCTGTTATTTCATTTTCTTTTCCTACCCCCAGCACATATTCGACCACTAGCTAAGTCAAGAACAAAGCCACAAAAATAGCTAACGTCATCATATAGGCCTTTGCTCGAGCTGTGCGTGAAAGGTTCCCCGATCGCCTAAGACTCTCGATACATGCCTCAACGGGGGAAAGCAAACTCTCTATCAACCTATTGCCGACAGATACGGCTTTCACAACGCCTTGGCATTGCAGCATCGCATTCAGACTTGACGGTACTACCATTACTGGCCACAGGGCCGAATTCGACGCCAACGATTCTTTCGAGCTCGTCTACGAAGATAACCAGCCTAGCTACTTTCGAGAAAAGAGTGACTTGCTGTCATGGGCTACCGATAAGGGCGGTATTACCTGCGAGCCACTATATCCCGCCGGAGTCTTAATCCGGCCTGCGGCAGGTCGAGGCGCCCTATCCATAAGGGATGTAAACGGCCCTAAGGTACGCGCTCTAGCACAGCGCAACTCTCCTGTCATATTACGCGGCTTTTCACATACCAGAAGCCGAGATCTTTTCGTAGATAAATCAGGAGAGCTTGGTGAGCCGACAGGGTGGAAATTTGGTCTCGTCCTTGAAGTCAAGGACCGCGGGGCGGATACACGCGGCTTAAATAATGTTCTGTCGTCTGAATGGATGCCTTTCCATTACGATGGACTATTCAAGACGGAGAAGAGAGTACGGGATGATGGGAGTGAGGTGTTGGTATCTACGCCGCCTGGGTAAGTTCCTACCCCTATCTGCTCTAAGTCTCTCGCTTTAGCTAATTCAGTCAACTAGTTTCCAGTTCTTCACTGCCGTAACAGAGTCACCCAAGGACACAGGTTTCACGCTCTTCTCATCGTCAACACTACTGTTCAAATATCTCCCCGCACACCTACCCCTATCCTCGCTGCGCCCTCTGACATGGACCGTGTCGACATCCTCCTTCAACTCCACCGTCATCAACGGCCTGCCTATAGTAATAGACCATCCAGTCACAGGCCGTCCCTGCCTACGCTACCACGAACCGTGGCCCCAGTCCAAGACGCGATTCGAAGCGACGAATATCACGATTGAAAACGCGTCCGACCATGGTCTAGATGCCGCGGGCGTTAGCGATGCGCTTGTTGGCTTGCTGCATGATCGCCGCGTCGCGTACTACCACTCGTGGGATAAGGGCGACTTGCTCGTGAATGATAATGTTCTCACGATGCATACGCGGAGCGACTTCACGGCAGGATGTGATCGCGAGCTATGGAGGATAAATTTTGACTAGTTTATTTAAGATTTGATCCCCTAGTCCCAGGTATTCGTGCGGGGCACGTTCTTGGTTTGGTAGAGTATTCTCGAGTGTGGAAATATCGGAAAAGATGCTGTATGTTGGTTAGCCCGCCTTATGATAGGCCCAGTCGAGTTTCTCGTCATATAATAATGCCCTTGCCCTTACCTAGCCTATGTTATAATTGATAGGGATATTTTTGTATGACTAGCCCTTAAGTTGGACATTGTGCTAGGAGTCATTATGCCGTATTTCTAGGTAATATGGCGAGGTCTACACCTGCAACCTTATGGTTGGCGCGTGGTTATGTTTCATTTGAGGAATGCCTTTAATCATTAATTTCTGTGTAAATTTCGGGGTTTAGCACCTCAATGGTCAGGTAAGCATAGCCTAGTTGCTATCACACGTCGTCTTCCTGCTCCAATCTTCCGCAGTTTCTTTAGTAAATAGTTTCCTTATCAACGTAAGAGAGCATACCACCCGGGCTTTCCTTCTCAAGTCTACTTTATTACCAACCAACCTCAGTAGCAATGGGATCATCCATCTCCTTAAGCGGTTCACGGCGTCTAGGCTTCTTCACTATCTCAAATGATTCCAAATGAGGAAACAGGAGAGGATGGCCTAGGTCGGCCTTGTTGGTATATTTGATGACGCCGTTCAGTAACAAAACCTCCGTCGTGTACATGTAGCGCGATGGAGGGATTCCCCGATACGGGTCGTAATAGTAGAATGAAACTACCAAATGCTTGATATATGGCAATGAAGCGGTCAAATCCCGGAGAGGGTATACCCACCAGTCCATATGGAACCAACCAATTTTGCTTGAATTCATATATCGTATTTCGAGATGCTGGACTCTTTCTAGCAATTTCTTTCCCACTAGCCGGAGGTGAGCATCAGGGTCGGTGGGAAGTGATTTGTTATAGTAGCAGAGGAATCCGTAAGGCATAACTGATTCCAGGTGAAGTCTTCGTAGGAGTCTAACATCAATACGCTTTGCCATTAACGCTATTGGCTTCAGCCGTGATGCCCAGTAGAAGTTATCTACGCCTATGATGACCAATTTGTCGATAGCCGGGCTGAAAGGGAGTGAATCCTCGCACGGTTCGCCGTAATATTTAATAGCCAGGCTACGAAATTGCCGACAGACCTGAAACAGGCTTATCGACGCCCACGTACGTGGTTCACAGATTATCATGTGTGTGTGGTTTGTAGACCCGTCCTGGTCACTTGGATCGGATATAGCCAGGTAAACCTTCAGTTCGTACGGCTCCATCATTACATCAAATATCTCGAGAAAAATGTCTCTTGGTAGTGACATCAGATCAAATCGAATATTCGCGTTCGACTCCTCCAGTACAGTTGTTTGCAAGGGACAGCACCATACTTCAGGTTGATCTTCGTTCGAGTAATCCAACGAGCGTCTGAAGAATGGTTCCACCTTATCAACAATTTCGGTCCAAGGGACTGGATTCTTCGGGTTGATTGATATTTTGAGTTTCTGGGGCTCGTAATAATCTTCCCAAGGATCAGGGGCCATGATTGACATAGTGGCTCGGATGTGACACTATGTTTTAGGTAGTTTTGAATGATAGGCAGAAATATTTTGTGTTAAGGAAGGCCACAGTCTCCTGGATTTGGATAGAATGGGGACACGATTGTTACCGCAAGAGAAAATATGATTTAAAACAAGCCGGCTGTTTAAAAATGTGAAGGAATGGAGTTGTCTTCAATAAGGTAATCACCTACCCACCTAAGGTAATACCATGAATTGTACATACAGGACGTTAACATACCTGAATCATTGAATAACTCGAAAAGTGGTCTATTCTTGGGTGCAGTCATTCGTCAATAGGAATACTTGATGAATCACTTGTTTTCGGTCTCTTTCTATGTTTGGTGAGGAAAGAATCACAAACAATCATCAGCACAAGCATCACTCCGAGGCTCTTGTCGCGGGATCCATGGACAGCTTTGTATACTTGCGTAAAGCCTTATTAAATTACACTAAGAAGCTGTTAGTTCTATATTATTAAATAAACGCATAGATTAGGTACCTTAGTAAGAGGTAGTTAGACGGATCCAAACGCCTAATATTAGGGAATTCGTAAGTAATACAGAGATTTTGATGGACAAGTCCTCACGTATCATTTCAATTTCTCTCAAGACAGCTAATTAAAGCATCCTAGCCTATTTAGTTGCGAACGTCGGCCTTATATTTTCAGATTCCAGGTATAAACTTATCAAGATGATTAATAGTGATATCAAAAATCAAGTACTAAGATTCCAACGGAAGTAAGCAATATAAAATTAATTGTATTTTCATATTACTCCGTAATATTCTATCAAGATACAGTAGGACTACCCCGTAGGGTAGCCCCAAGATACTAGGTCTATATAAGGAGTCTACGCCTCCCCCCTATTCTTGAGAGGGCATGGATTAATACCGCCACCACTATACCACTATACTAGTAGCCGGACCCCTGCCTTTCGCTTTGTTTTATGTTGTAATTTCTTAGTTTACTTGTTTACTCTAGGCTAATGATAACACCTATCAAAATAAACGGTGGGATTAGTTTCATTTCGTTGTAATAGAGCATTTTTATCCTGTTTGTTAATCTCTTAACCTAGAGGACAAGCCCAGTGGCTAAATCCTTGTTGGTATATGGGATTACGTTCTCAAGGTAGCTAAGATGTGTCGATGATTTCCGGAGAGTCTATTTAAAGCAAATACCATGCCGATGTATGAATATAGTTGTAACTGATAATTATTAAGTGAGCACGTTCATACTTCAGCGCATCGACATCATCGCACCGTTAGTACGAAGTATAAATAACCCAGCGTCAAAGCCACTTCATAGAAACTATCGTTGCCGGCCAAACTAGGTCTGAAAAGGGTCATATACGTGGTTCACTTTGTTGGGAGCTACGCTTTGGGCATAATACTAATAAAGATAAAGTCTGATGAGCATTATATATAAATACCTACCCGTCCACCCAATCCACCACCCCCAAAAGAAGCTACTCTGCAGCATCATACCGATGATAATATCTCCGAAGCAATATTGTCGTGAATGGCCAGCAGCATGCAACACTCGTCAAGATCTACCCGGCTTAAATATTGGCTGAGTCGATTCAGTGCGAAGCTTCTCAAAGCAACATCACCTGAAGAATCTCTTAAAACAGCATCATCAAAGCCAGCTGTGCCTCTTCGAGCAGCACCGCCAGTAGAACCTCGCAAAGCAACACCATCTGAACCAGCTGAGACCCCCCAAATAACGCCTCCAGGGCTTCCTACAACAACATTGCCGGCAATGGAAAATGAAGATCATTGGAGCTCTAGTGACTCTAAATCTCAATCTATTCAAAAAATGTCATCCGAGGGATGGCCAACGAGGCCCCAAAGAATAGCACCGTTCAAACTCCTTACGCAAGAGGATCGCGAGAGGATTTCAGACAATATATCTACCGCTTCCGCCAAGGTAAGCTCTGTTGCTTCACTCGGCATCCTAAACATCGCCGAGGCCCAAGCCGGTGCAGCAACTACCGCAGCAGTAGCTCGCTTCGTCGCGGACAGTATACCTTATCTTCTCGATGATTTCAGCAGGCGTGCCGGGGAAAAAAGGACCAATGATCCAGAGGAAATCGCACAGTATGCTTCCACCATTCCCTCCTGGCCCAAAATTTTGTACGATGATATCGGTGATCAACCCGCCAAGACGGTCGCTAGTCATGTCAAGGGCTCCCTAAACGGTCTTCACGCAAAAGCTACAGTTGCAGCTATTATAAGAGCTGAAAAGAGACTCCTTCGCTCCATTGCGAATGTCATGGAAGACCACGTACTTATTTCCGGGACCACAAAGTGGACACTTAGGATATTGATATTCACTGTTTCAGCGGCAGCTTCTGAAGCAGCTTTAATGGCGGCTTGTCGAATTACTCGCACTAGTGCAGGTGACATAGCTCTCGTGGATAACGATCCTCCACCACCCTATATGGAAGATTCAAAATTGACGTGGGAAAGGGGGGTTCATGGGGGGTAGATAGGTAGACATGACACGTGTCACGAGGTGGAACGAAACAGCATGGAAATAACTCCGCTGTTCTAGATGTCTCATCTAGAATCCTGACAGCGTTTGATGGTTCAGCCTCGTCGGATATGGTTCGGCGGATTGGTTTTTTTCCCTTTCTATCTTCCGTTGCCGTCGTCTGGCCCGTTACGGCCGCATCAACTGCCTCAATAGCGGCTCGGATTGCCCTCACGGTCGTCATGGCGCCGATGCCAACGGATTCTTTTAGGAAAGGAACCCAGGTCGCCGTGGTCGCCGCGGACGCCGCCGCGGCTAAGACTCTATGTGAGTCGGTTATTCCCTTTTTTAAATCTTCATTATGCGTAGGTAAGACTGGTCGGTTTTTTTTGGGCCAAAAATGTTTATTAATTGTCTCTTATTAAAGGAACGAAAAGTCCGAAAAATGAGCCAATGGCTCCGAGGAACGTCAAAACTTAATAGAATGTATTTATTGGCGAGCCGAAGGTAGTCGGAGTCGCTCCCGTTACTGCCGCAGTTGTAGTGGTAGTGGTTGCATGTGTGTGATGGTCTCGGTGATGGTCTCTGTCATTTGGGTCATCATTTTGGCTTGGTTGGTCCTAGAAAAAGGCTATTAGTACCTATGTTTATGTCACGAGGTGGGGCAAGAAGCATAGAAGCAACTTTGCTCTTCCTCAAGGAACCCTAAGCTAACAGGCATGGGAGACCGTGGCTATACATACCTAGGTACTGAAAGTATCCCTTGTTCTAGATATCCCATCTAGAATTCTGACGGTGTATGTGTGCCTGTATGCGTGCTTGTATGTGTTCTTGTGTACGTGTTTGTATGTGTGTTTGTTGAATGTTGTAAAATAGTTGCGGGGAGTTTCGCGATTCCAGGCTTTCTTAACTGTTTCTAAAGGCAACTTATGACTTCCGTGTCTGGTTCATAATTTAACAAGTAGTAGAAAGTTCTTTCTTAAACTTCGTAGGATAGGAGGTAAGTAAAGAGCCTATCGCTGCATGGTATGGTTTCTAAAATCTTTAGGTTTGAATTTTAGATTTTCTTTTTAATTCTGTCAGCTCTTCCCTTTTCCAAAGATGGGATGGGACTCTGTATTTTAATGAGGCGCGAATGCCTTACAAATATCATCCGCTGCTACTGCTAGTACATTAGTGGTAGGTAGTGTGTAATATTAGGTTTAATTAACAACCCGGAAGGTATATATGTCATTGATGTTGTAGGTAGGTAGGTACCTCCTAAGGTAACTACATGTTGGGATTTCTGCGTCGAGGAAATGTATGTACTTATTTTGTGTGGACTGGACTGTGTTACGAAAGTGCGTTGCTGATTCTTTCAAGAACTACGGGACTGCCTCTGTTTATATAGCAGGTACCTACATGTACCTACCATATCTACCTGTTTAACTCCTCGTTCCTACCCTTGATGACTCGTTATTGCCTGGCAACCGTCCCGCAACCGTCCTGCAACTGCCTTTTACCTTGCCACTAGTCCGATGACATCAATCACCTGGGAGCATTCCGTAGGGGCACGGGGCGAAATAGCCAGTGTTAATATATATGTAGGTAGGTACCTAGGTAGTAACTTCCAGTAATCCTATACCTACATGTGCATAAGGTAATAAGTGTATCTACCTACCTTCCTCAAAGCAGTAGCAGGTACTCGGCACCTGTCCGATGCTCGAGTGTAGCTTCCAGATAGTCTTCTAGGCAGATTACCTTATACATACATGTACTTAAGACAGGTAGGTATAATCTTTCTGTATATGACTACCCAAATCTTAAGGTATTTTTGGGAATACTACTGTTCCAATCACCCTTCTAACCTATTAGCGAACCCAAATATTGCAAGAATCATATTTGGATCATCATGTTCGTCTCAGCTATCAGCAGACTCTTTTCATCTTCTATCTATGTATCTTTGAAAGAGCAAGAAGGCACCTAATGCGAACAGTACGACAGGACCTGTACCAAACAGCCTACGCTTGTGTGTCAAATGAGGAGAGCCCTTATCACAGCTTAGAGATTGCATCGAGGTAAGACCATCCATAATACCTACCTACATATGGCATGCTCTCAATGCCTACACCTACTTACCGAACTAGCATCTAGACTTTATAAAGACTCGATACATTTCACTTAATCGACTGAAACGTTAAGAGAGCGTGAAACCGCGAGACTCCCCGCAACTATTTTGCACCATTCAACGAACACTACACTGACAACTCTTCTGCTGAGACTACAATATAAAAAAAATGTTGACCGAAACGGTAACAATAACCGTTACACAAACAGCTACCGCCGCTGCTGAAACTACGGCGGCAACGGGTTCGTCTGGTGTCTTCGGAGTTAGTTGGGAGAGAACATATTTTATCATAACTTTCCTCGGAGCCATTGTCTCATTTTTCACACCAGCAAATCTAAGCTCTCCCACCATTTGGTAACGAAAGCTGCTAAGGCGGCTCTGATCAGTATAGCTGCGAGTATTGTCAACAACGAGCAACCGACTCGGTTTCGAGTCCCATCTGGGGAGGCAGGACCTTCGCGAGCTGTATAGGGCTATCCTTATTCTGTTTATTTGATTCTTTACCTCTCCTATGGTTTTATTGTACCATATTGTACCAGGCGATATACTGGCTTTGCTCCGGTACTCTAGTCGTCCCTTACCCCATTGCCGCGTTATGGGTGTTTAAGTGTAACCTACCTTAGATAGTTTGTACGCCTACTGGACGTTAACGAATTCACCATCATAATTTCCCTCCCACCTTTCTTTTCGCGTTGTCAAGGCCCTGAGTAAATATTTATACTAAGCGTAGTTGAAACATCCAGTAGATATGTAGTCAGATGATGTGGATACCTAGAAACATTTCGTAGTATATATGCGATAGATACTTGTTCGAACGTGGTCTGTGCTCCCCTTCTCTACCTCCCCTCCCTATGTAATTCAAATATCATCAATCTCATACGTGTGGGTTTCGCGGCAAACATGATTTTGCCAGCCTCTTGTAACTTTCTTTATTCATAACTCATAACTCAAGTTTTCTTAAAGTTGACTAACCTAGATAGTTAAGATATGAAGGAAAACAACTATTTTCTATCAAAAGCGTATCTTTTACATTAGGTACTTATATGAGGATGAAAACGACCTATCTAGTGACAAATCTGAGCCATGACGGAATGACGGAATGACGGAGAGATCGACCAAAACCAATGAGCCAATCATAGCTAGTTACAACCCGGGAATCTTGAAACGGATTTCCTGCATGGTTCTCCGCCAAGAACAAAAGCCCTAGGCCGATCATGGATCGCCAATGGATCCACGGTTGATCCAGCTTGATCCAATCCTCGCCCTTCGCTTGTCCTCGTTCATTCTCGCTCTCGATTCCGTTTTTCATTGGCGGCTTCATCCCACCATCGCGCGTGTTTCGAAACAATGAGGAGGCGGGCTGGGATCGACTCGTTTCAGGTTGAGCCGACCATCGAATGGCCTCCAGTCCCTTTTCTGCATTGCCGTATATTCTCTGCTACCTACTGATGAACGATAGTTGGTAGGACTCTTCCCCAATGAGCGTCTAGCATGGGATGATGATGCCCGGGACCACGGGTCCATAGAGAGTATGACAGAGAATACGGGGGGGTGCTTATTTTGGGGGTAATGGGTAATATATTACAGAAAAGTAGCCAAATGCGCGCGGGTACTACCTACAAGTCTACCTACAAGTCTACCCAACGTAAATTTCTAAATTTGTTATTCCTCGAAACCCATTTCTCTCTTTTCGATCTAGATTTGATCACTTGCCAATTCCCTCGGAATACCACCTCCTATCGTAGCCCAAGTTTAGAAGACTGATATTGGAATGAGCTTTGACATTGGCATCAACATCAACATCAACATCAACATCGACAACGCCAATCAATACTAGAAAAAGAACAATGGATCATCCATCGAGGGTGCTAGCGCAGGCGCGAGAGCATCTCGAAGCTCTAAAGCAATCCGGTCTCAGCCGCGATGCCCTGCTCGCCTTACTAGGAGAAGAACCACAACAACAACAGCCACAACAACAACAGCAGCAGCAGCAACAAGCTACTATGATAGCTGAAGGTATGAGATGCCTCCTTGGGACAATATCAATTGCCCAATTATATTAACTGGTGTTAATGGTCTTAGCCATACCAAATTTCAGTTATAGAGATATCAATCCTTTCACCCAACAGCCCCCCAGACAACGATCTTCCGTCTCGTCATCCAGATCCAGCTCTTCGAGTCGCGACAGCGTATTCTCCGCCGCCTCCATACGAAGCTCTGTATCGTCAGCGTCGGCCCTAACGACTATTGACGCGAAGTTCTGGTGCACGTCCTGCGATAAGACGTTTAAGAGGAAGTTCGACTGGAAGCGACACGAAGAAGAGTTCCACGAGCGATCGCGAAAATACCCCTGCCCGAGCTGCAACCAAAGCTTCTGGGGACCCAATACATTCAACCAACATCACAAGTCGGCACACGGCTGTAAAACCTGTCCGCATGCTGACACCGTAGTCAAGCATTTACGGAAGAGAAGGGCATGGGGCTGCGGCTTTTGCGCTGCGATGTACGGCACGTTCGAAAAGCACATAGACCACGTTGCCGCACATTTCGAGTCCGGAAGTACAAAGGCTGACTGGCTGCACTCTAACGTCATCTACGGCCTACTACACCAACACCTCATCCATGAGGCATGGAAGGCATTGATCGTGAGGAAGCAGAGTAAGTTCAATGGTCACCAGCCCATGTTCAGCTGGAGTCCCGAGTCAACCGGACGAGCTCAGGGTTTCGTAGAGAACGAAAACCCTGGGCAGTTGCAAGACTTATTGGAATTTTTCGACGGAACCAAGGAGTCCGCGGAGAGCATCGTCGAAATGGCGTACACTTGCGTCCATATCGTATTCCGACCAAGGTCAGCTTCCGGCAGTCAAGGTACCTCTCAGTCTGCATCAGGTTCAGCTTCGCCCTCCACAATGCCCAAACACATATCCGTCTTGCCAAGGACTCCGTCGGTCCCGCGGCGCTCAGCATCTACATCCGCACTACCTGGTGTAAGCCGACACGGCAGACGAACACCGTCCATGGATTCCAGCCGCACTGCCCCTGCTCAAGTTCCAAACTTGAACTTGGCAATGCCGATGGCGTCAAATAACCAACAACACATGATTTGTGCATACCAAGACTTTTCCATGCAATCAACTCAACAACAGGGATATGTACCTCCGGTCAGCACCGACAAGGCATTACCACCAGAGCCGCTAGCACCATCGCCGACTTCGCCTATGAATATCGACTTTCCACTCTTTAACACTGGAGATGGGCTGCTACCGCCGCTCAACCTATCGTCAGATGACTGGCAGAGTTTTACGAGCACATTGATTGAAGAAGAGGAGCCGCCGCATCCCTTATCTTCCAATGACTTCCCCATGACATGGGATGATCTCGGACAGTTCCAATCGAATCCCCAACGGTGATCAAAGTCAGTTTTGAACAGGAGAGGCGTCAAAGCCGAGGAATTAATAGTGCAATGTACATTTTTATTATGCCCGGGTCATGGAGCTCGGCTGGAATGCATAATGTAATGATAGCGGACGATAAATAATTGCATTGTATCATGTTCGATGTGAAAATACAAACGAAATATTGCGAAATTGAATATAACGTCTTGGAATTCAAGGACTAAGCCGATTGAAGTGCCATGTTCGAGAAACTACCTACCTACCTAGGTATATAACTCTAGATGACGTTTTTAAGTCGTCAGGTAAGCAACGAATATGTACCTAATTCCAACTCCCCGATTCGCTACCAGCACAATAACATACCGGTAATGCCTAGCCACTAGAGGGGGAGATTACGGAGGTGTAGAGGGAACACATTAAAAAAACGCTAAAATTTATAGGTAAACTCTGAGGGGTATAATTTACAAAGCTATGGCCAAATAATATTCAATAAAGCATTACATATATTAAGGCTAGCCGGGCAATACCCCACCCAATTTGACCAATTAAGAGGCAACGCAAGAATCGCATAACCTTATCTAATCAAATAGCCTACTTCGTAGTTATTAAAGATCATTCAAAAAGGCCTCATTTTCAGCCTTTTTACCTCGAAATGACTAGATGCGACCGTAGACCGTATAGATGCAACCGTATAGATGCGAGCGTATAGTCTTTAACCGATACATGCGACCTAATAAAAGCAATCGAATCTTACATCGTAAGTAAATTAATTGGATTTAATCAGTATAATGGAGCTATGTCAAAAGTGCGGTATAAAGATAAGGATAAGGATAAGGATAAGGATAAGGATAAGGCGGGCGGTGTAAGATTTAGCCAATAGGAGAACGCGCATCTTGAAATAGGCTATAGCGTAAGTGGTTGAGACTTACAATGAAATACAAGTGTATAGTAGTAAATTTGTATGAGGGATTAAGTATTTATAGGTACAAAATAGCCTCGCATACTGCCCGGGCATTTAATAAGACCCATACTGCCTAACTACATAGTATTGCTTTAATTGCATATAGAACAATTAAAAATCAGATAGGGGTAAGTGTATCAACAAATTTGGGGTTTTTTTAATGTGTTCCCTCTACACCTCCGTAGGAGATCCTCATCGAATATTTGTTTGACATCATTTAAGATTCCCAACTTGTAGCATTATCGGGATAATTATCATGTGAAGATCATGTGTCAAGCTGCACCTACGGCTCTATGCCCGAAGAAAGTTTAATGTGCATAACTCGGGCTTTCGGTCCTGAAGGGTAGCCAATCAAGAACTTTTGCCCTGACCTGAAAGTTAAGTCTAAATAAAGTATTCCAAGTTTCCTAATGAGGCAATGTTGATCATATACCTATCAGTTGCGAGTTGAGGATATCCTATTGAGCATCATTTTTTATGCCTCTCCGATTCAGCTTTGAAATGCATCCTAACAGCACAGGACACAACAGAAGCGCGTATAAAAAGAGAATGAAAAACTATTAAAAATACATGTAAAAAATATTGTCGCATGTGAAAGAGAAAAAAAAACCTCACGAGATCCACCGTGGTGGGGAGGTCTAAGGTGTGCGTGCCCTGAATAAACGAACTCAAGGTAAAAAAGATAGATAAGAAAAACAGCAACAACAACAGAAATCAAAAAGTTAAGCTAGCTCCACTCCGTTTCGATCGGAGGTCCTCCGGGTTATGAGCCCGGCGCGCTTCCGCTGCGCCATGAAGCTTTGTGCGAGTTACTTGTATCTCATCGTTGGTGGTAGCAACCGCGATGTTTTGACCTATAAACTCTTTGCCGATTTTACCTGTGAGTCACATCGTCACAGTCAACACTCGAAGATCCCATTGGACGGTGTTTTTTATGTACTTTGTTGCTTGTAGCCGTAGGAACTTTTTCATGTTTTAATTATTGGCCTTTGGGTTTTATCTTTTGTGATCATATAATATGTGTAGGCTATCTAGGACACAATGTTTTTCAGGGTATTCATACTCGGTACAATACTGCGCTTCTTGTAAAAGAGTTGAAAATATTCTAGATGGTTATTGTATCATTATACAGCGAAAAGGGTATATTTCGATAGTGTAATTCGCCATAAACCAGCACATGTCTTTGAATATTTATTTTTGCTCTTAGTTATCCTTCAACGTAGCTGTAACAATAATCCGGCCCTTTGTGAACTTGTTACAGCTGCATAATTATATCAACGTTCTAATATAAATAATCGAGGTGAAGGAACAGATGCTGACTGTCTTTCAATTAAGATTCTGCCTCAACAAAGCTCAGTTGTTTAACCATATCTCGTTCATCATTCTATAATGCACTTCTTGAAATTCCTCATTTAGACTTATACTATCCTACAACAGCAAACAACTAAGTACCTATGTCCTAATTAGCAGTTAGGATACATGTATACTGTCAAACGTCCTGGTTCCGAAGATGCTTCCTTATACCAAATTCCTATCCAGTTTCACAGCAGTAAGTGCTAGTAGCTAGATGATATTATATAGGACGACTCACCGAGTTCTAATGTACTATCATTTTTATGAAGTCAAGAACACTATCAGATAGATGCCACCATAGATCTTTTTACCTAGTAGATAAGTATCCTTTGAATAACTTAAGGGGTGATTCCGTTCCTTTAACAGGTTAAATTTTCTATTTATCCTCTTCTTCGGGACTCCAAATATAGATTTCGTTTCCTGGGGTTTCGAACACCCGACTCAATATTAACTGTTCTCCCTCGATGTATTGACTCAAACCAGTATTAAGTGCTCAATCAAAGTGTGTTTCTAAGAATTTTATAAACATATAAGACTAGTAACTAGGTCATTTCGAAAGATTAAATATCTTTAAGAACGTTCATTTCGAAATATTTATATTCATTTTCCAATATTGCTACTTCTACTTTAACATATTCGGTTACTAACGCTCTAACCCTTTCTACATGTATTATCTTAACCAGATCATTCTTAGGCTTAGAACTTAGCATAAGGTTAACGCCTTTTTATATGGGCCTTTGAAGTTGATTAAGATTGTTACGCTAGTTGATTAACAGGTACCCAGTTCATGCTTTACCTAAGCCTTAAGTGTCACTTTTACAGGAATACTAGTGTACTTCTTAGTTAAGTATACGCGGAATTTTTCTAATACTATATCTGGATTTATTTCAAGGTTATGTAAGCCAGATAGGATGGATGAATATGATGTGAGGGTTGTGAATAGACTACATACTCAGCTGGTCGAAAACATTTGGGAGTTTTTCTTAGCGTAAAGAGACAAACCCGCACTTTTACAAGTCACACAAGAATGCCGCTGACAAAACGCTAAGAGCAACCTCGCTGAGAAACCGACGCCCGGAAGGTATCGGTTACCTGTAACATGGGCGAGATGGCGAGTATCGGCCGCGGCAGAATATAGGTGGAGAATTTAATGCTGAGACTCGGACAGGGCTGGGAAATAGTGGATTGGCATATAGGAAATCTACTTCGTAGTGTATGTATATAAGATAAAGAAAGGGGGAGGTCGAGCACGGACCAGATGTTGGGTCAGGGCTACCGGGTCAGCGGGTTTGGAGATCATCTAGTAGGGCAATCACATCTCAATGATTTTCATTAATTACTCCGACAACAAATTAAGAGGCGCAGCAATCAAAGCATTGTTTGTTTGCTTGCGTAACTCTGATATTTTAAGTAGCGGATGAGCCAATGATAAGTCGTATTTTGGATTCCGACTTTTTGGCCGGGGTCGCTTTCCATCCTGCCATCCTGGACTTGCTGGCGAATAAATTACTAAAAATGGACTACAGTGAGATCTCAAAATGTGATCGATCATCTGAGGAGTTAATTACTGGTGTAGATATGTTAACTATTGAACTCCATTCCAGCCCGGAGCTCGGTTCAAAATGTGTGTACATAAATAATCTCTCATAGTAGCTTATGAAAGTAAAATCCTGACAGCCCTGCTCTCACTTAGCCAACGTAACTAACGCATGTAATGGACTGAACGACCTAGGCAAAAATTCGGAAACTATATATATTAAGTACCTCATATGCATTATTAATATGTAATGGTAATTAGATCGGGACCGGAGAGAGGCAATCTTGGATAGAATAGATGCAATTTTTAAAAATCCCGGTGCTTGCAGATCGCGAAAATCATGGAATTCATAATGGAACCTTAAGGGACTAACCTAAGGCTGTAGGGGTCCGGAGGATTACGTTCGTCTTCAGGGCCGAGGTAAGATGCCGAGACCTAGCGGCTAGGACGGACAGCTCACGGCGATCTTTGATGAATCATTGTACAGTGAAACCTGTCCATAACGAATCTACTCTATAACGAATACTCTCCTTAACGAATCGATATTGGGTTTTTTTGAATTTTGTATGTGAAATAACGAATTTTTTCATATAACGAATTTCGTTAGCTTCGAGGCTTAATCACCACCTAATTCGTTATGAAAAAATAAAGTTAAACCGGTTTAGGAATATTACTAAGCCTATTTTGGCTTAGACTTTTAGTAAATTTCGTTAAGTTACTATTTTGATTGCCACTTTTCCGTTTTGGGTAGGAGTATGGTCTGTGCACTTACCTACTCTATAACGAATATTTACCATAACGAATCCGAATCGATGTTTTATTCAATTCGTTATGGCCAGGTTTCACTGTAGTATGATTGGTCCCCAACAAATTGCCAGTGCGCACCAGGATGCCGGGTCTAGTAGTCTACATATCTATAAGCTAATTTCTCTATTACCTACATAGCTCTGGTTTGCTTTCTCGAACACGGATACGTAGAAGAGATTTAACTAGCTAGAGCTGAAGAGGAAAATATCGACAGTCGACGCAAGGACACAAGATACACAAATTGGTAGCATTTGAGATCCAAGCATCTGGCGCATGTCTTTAACCGGGGACCCCTGGTTTTCGCCATATTCTAGAAGAGTTCAATAATCGTTCGATGTAAAAGATCTGGCGCCAACCACGCATAAAAGTGCCGTCATATCATGCCATTTTACCTCACAAGAATCTACCGCTCGCGTGATTTTCGAACCTCGGGAAATGTTTTGGTATTGTATTTCTAGTATTTCTAGTATTTCTAGTATTCCCACTGTCGGCATAGAATCGGTAATGACCGCAAACACATAGCTTCGTCACGCTATTCCATGCACTAGAAACATGCACTAGAAATTTTTAACATTCAAGCCAGAGTTTAAGATTGACGCATGACTCCGCAAAAGCGGAACGAGATATTAGGTAACGCCTTATGAGCACGAGGCGGTAAGCAAGGGTATATTAAAGACTTTTGGAGTATGTATTTGCCATCTACAAGTTACGAAACTTTCTTAGTTTTAAGAACCCGTGTTTTGAAACCTGTTCCACGAATAATTGGATCAAATTGGATCAATAACTGATACTCTCTAGCTTACTTATAGAGTCTTATCTATTTCTCTCACGAGTCATCTTATTGTCTTCGAGGAAAACTTCAAGACAACAAACAACTAGCCGCCATGGCTCTCAATTATAAAGAATCAAGATTAGTCAAGGATACACTACCGTCCCTACGTCAACATGGTGAACACATTGCGACTGTCTTCTATAAGACCATGTTACGCGACCATCCCGAACTCCACAATTACTTCAACACGGTGAATATGCACACAGGAAAGCAGCCGCGCGCCTTGACGACACTTATTCTGGCTTTCGCCTCCAACATTGTTAACATCAGCGAGCTAACACCGAAGCTGGAACGTGTGGCCCAAAAGCACGCCTCGCTGAACATTCAGCCCGAACAATATGAGATTGTCGGCAAGTATCTATTGCGCGCGTTCTCTGCCGTCCTCGGCCCTGCCATGACCCCTGATGTGAAGTTGGCGTGGACGAAAGCTTACTGGGTCATGGCAAAGATGCTAACGGGCCGAGAAGCTCATATTTACCGCGAGTTTGAGGACTGGACGGGCTGGCGGAAGTTTATGATCTTTAACAAGAAGAATGAGACTGTAGAGGGAAACATCGTCTCCTTCGTTTTGAAGCCGGTTGATGGAAAGCCGTTACCACTCTTCATGCCCGGCCAGTACGTCACCTTGAGAATCACAGTGCCCGGCATGAAGTTTACCCAGCTCAGACAGTATTCGCTGAGCGATGCGCCCAGCCGTGACCATTATCGGATTACCGTCAAGCGAGACCAGGGGTCAAATTGGGATTACGCCAAGCCTGATGATATTATGACAATTTCGACAATTTCCTCAGCTGCCAGCAGCGCGTCAGATAGCAGTATTGGTAGCGTGCAGCCATGCAGGCCTGGTATCGTCTCCAACTCGCTCATTGACGAGTTCCACGAAGGAGACACCATTGAGTTGACACACCCGTCAGGCTCTTTCTTCCTCAACACGAAAATGGACACCTCGATGCCGCTTGTCCTCATCTCCGCCGGAGTCTGTGTAGCCCCGCTGCTCTCGATGCTGAACACTGTTGTAGAAAAGCGAATCAACAGGCCAGTGTCCTGGATCCAGGCATCGCGACACGATGCCCCCTTCCAAGCACATGTCGAAAACATGGCTAAGAGGCACCCGAATATGAGGACAAAGTTCTTCAAGTCGAGGCTGTCGGATAGTGATGTGTTGTCGTATACTTCAACCTTTGATAACGACTTCCTCTCCCTCACAGCCGAGGACTTGTATCTAAGAAATGGTTCGTCCGAGTACTACATATGCGGACCCGAGAAATTCATGATGCAGGCGTCCGAACACTTACACAAGTATGGTGTGAAACCAGAAAGGGTGCAGTTCGAGATCTTCTCGGTAGGAACTTTCGAGATGAGAATGGAGGACTGATTGGAGTACGGGACTAGTCGATACGACCGAGGTCGTCTCGAATAGCTATTTACGGCGCCATTCACCACGACGCTTCGTGGCCGATCTATTCGCTCTAGGCTTTCTTTAAGAAGCCTATTGGGCATTAGCCACATACCATATCCTAACGCATAGTGCGTAGCCGAGCGAAACGAGTGAATCCGGATAAAAATCTGGCTTATTAGCTCTGGGAGCCTTACTAGAGTCTAGTTAACTGGCCACCGGCCCATGGTAAACATGGAATAGGAGCCGCCCAACGTAAAGCAAGAGGCAATAGCCGAGCCAATCCTTTCTTCCGGGAGGAGTAACACTAAGGTTTCCGCCGAGGTCATTTGGAGTATGGCGTTGAGTTTGCTACGTTAAGCAACCAAAACTCTAAAACTATGGATTATTGCGTCAAATAAAGCTACCATAGAAGATGGATAGGAATTACGAGTCATGTCTTAGATTATTAGAGCTTATGTACCTTACGGTCTAATTGGGAATATAAACTACCTGAATCCCCTTAATGCTTCTATGAGAAACGGGTAGCGGGTCGCCTTAAGGTGCATAACTTTCAGTGGCATCTCGTAGGTTTTGTTCATCTAGAAAGGTGTAGTAACCTAGGTATTTATATGAAATTAAAAGGGGTGGATTAACAGTTGGAATCTACACCCTTTATGACCTTCCGTCGATAGTAGCCTTCCTCTCCCGCTCATTTAGCTCATGTCGTAGTTGATGCATCCCCGCGAGATAATCATCTTCCTCTCCGGCGTATTGTACCCACAAGTATTCGCACAATTCCACGTATCTCCTAGCTGCGTCTAGCTCGCCGACTCGCATGTAGGCTCTAGCAACAGCACCGTAGTGCACAAGAAGTTGGGCCTCTAGATTCTCCTTGGCTACTAGGGACTCTAGCTCTTCGGTGAGCCTTTCGATTGTGTTTATCGTTAGATTAGACTGTCCCGCAGCACTATCGTTTAGCTCATGGTAGATATCCTGTAGTCGCACTCGGTTTTCATCCGAGGCCGCTCTTTGTTTTTGAGAAGAAGCGCATAGTGAACATGTACAGGTGAAGCCCCAATTCTTCAAGTCTTCCTTGCGCTCTTCGTAGGATAACCCAAGAGGTACATCTAGCATAGCAGAGCGTTAGGGAGGAGATGGTGGAAAGGGGCTAGGGATAAGGGGTCTTACAACTTTGTGTTATCTCTTCTCCGGGCTCGATGTCGCGCATTGCAATAACTTCGACTGTTAAAGAACGTACCGAGTATCGCCAGAAAACACTGTTCGTAATTTAGCTTTCCAGTTCAAGAACATTCGGGACCTGAAGGTGTAAATGCGTACTTGGGCCTGCAGTCGTGATTGATCCGCTATTTCTGTTAGTGCTGAAGCACATCAGGTCGCGATTTACGAGGTGCAACTCACGGAGCCAATAGGAAGTAATCCTAGGTGTGGTATCTCAATTCCGAGCTCAACGCCAAAGATATTCGTTCTGAGAATGTCTTCAACAGTTTCACCGCCAGTGCTGCGTGCCAGTGACAAGATTTCGCCTTGCTGCTCCTCTGGTAACTGGCGTAAGGCTCGATCTAGAATATCCTCGCGGAGCTCGGGGCCTACTACATCGAATAGACCCAGGTGTGCAAGCATGACGGGATAGTCCACCAACACTACTTCCCATTTTCGGATCTGGCGCTGCGCAACTAAACCTTTCCCCTTTCCGGGTATGTCCTTAATCACGTACGCCGGACTGCTTCCTTCCGCCGCGAGGGAACTTGGAAGGTGGTCCCTGAGCTTCGGGGGCACGACCGAGTCATCTAAGGCGTCGACCATGCTTGCTGCAAGTACGGGCATGGTTATAACGCTTAGACCTTGGTCTCCGCGAAACGGCTCGAATGTGTAGACACAGAACTGTGGCCCGGGTGCATCGCCCGGTAAAGGCTCTATGCAGTAAGGTCGACATTTCCAAGGCTCCCAGGTCCCCGTATCTATTGCGGATTCTTCATCTATGGGGGGAGGACATGTTAGTGATTCTTGTCTACGGCCTATAATCGAGCCGTGGAAGTCTAAGGAGCAGGTTTTCGGATCCAATGGCTTCGAAAATGCTGATAGCGGATTAAGCCCGGCTAGAAAGGCCAAAACCGCCACCCAAGGGGAGCGCAAGGACTGGAAATAGAAAGGGGCCATGAGAAATATTAGTATGTATATTGATTCAGTGGTCAGTCTATCGTAATACGACTCACGCCAACAGCCGACCGCGCGGTGGCTAGATAGGGTGAAATGAAACTGAGAATGCCAACACAAACTTGAGCATTAGGGCCATGTCTGAGCTAGGCTATAAAAGCCTGTATTTCTTAATTATGAGGCCGATATGTAAATGTGGCCAAATCATTTGGTAGTGCGTGTATGCTAGGCATCATATGCCTGCCACGGTTCCGGCTAAATAAACCTTAACGGTCTTAACAAGTTAGTTAATTATTTGACCTAACTTGCATTAACTTAACCTAAACTGGCCAGATATCTATTTTTAAATTATCTTAATAAATCAGGTTTTTTTTTTTTTTATTTAATTAATTACCAATTATATTTAACGCATATAGGCTTATTTATATATATATTTATATGGTATAATTAATAGTTAAAAAAAAAAATTTTTAAAATTAAAGATAAAATTTTTAACGTAATCGATTTAACGTTTTTACAGTTTAAAGTTATTAAACTAATTAAATATTAAATGTAATAATATTTAAATTTAAATAAAGTTATTTTTAATTGTTATTAATTATTAATAACCACGTATAACTTATTTTTATAAATAATTTTATTTCGTTAAACCATTTTTATTTTATTAACATTATATATTTTTAATTTTTTACTTATTTTATTATTGTATTTAAAAACGTATAATAAAAAACGTATATTAACATATAATAATAAATAATAAAACCGCTTTTAATTATAAAACAATTTAAGTTTAAATTATTAAATAAAAACCTTTTATTTTTAATAACGCCATTTAATAAACCTTACCATAAATTATTATTAATAAGGTTAAATATATAATTTACGTATGGTTTTATACAAATATTAATTTAAAGATTTTAAAATACGGTAATTATTTAATCCCGATTTAAAAAATAATTAATAAAAAAGGTAATTTTTGTTTAAAAAAAGGCAAAAAAATATAACTTTACTATTATTACAATTTAATAAATAAAATAAAAAAATTTAATAATAATTTAATAAATAACGTAATAAAGTACGTATTAAAAAATAAAAAATTTTATTACAATAAATTTATTAAAATTAAATTTAATATTAAAACAATTAATACCAATTAATAAAATAAAATTATTTTTAACGTTAATATTAAAGATTAATTTCGTAATTAAGTTAAAAGGTAACTTATATTTAAAACTTTAAATAACTTTAAAAAGTTAATTTTAAAGTTTATATATTATTGTAATATAACTTTTAAAACGATTGTAAAAAAAAAATTTAAAAATTTATTAATATTTGTTAATAAATAATTAATTTAAAACCTATTATTTAATATTGGTAATATAATTAATAATTGGTTAATTGCCACTTTTAATATAATTTGTAAAGTTATTAATTAACAGCTTAAAAAAAAAGCATTATTTAAAATTTTTTTTTTTTTTAATATATAATAATTGTTAAATAAAAAAGCGGTTTTAATTATAGTTTCTCATTTTATCGATAAAAAATATAAACAAAAAAACAGGTTTATTAAATTGCGGTAAATATATAAAAATTATATAAATAAACATATATTTACTTATTTAATAAATATAATTAAAGATTATTAAATTTTAAATAAATTAAAATATTATATTTTAAATAACGTAATAAATTAATGTATATTATAATAATTATTACTTAAATTGGTTTATTTATTTATTTTTAATTAACGATAAAGTTTTAATATATTTTTTTAAATATTAAAATTTATTTTAAATTAATAATAATATTAATAACTTTATTAATAAATGTTAAATACGTTATTTTAAACATGTGATTAATATTATTGCATTTAGTTTTATCTTTAATAAATAATTTAATAATAAAGTTAAATTTATTATTATATTAATTATATAAAAAGCTTATTTATTAACTGTATACGTATGTTAAAATTTATAATAATGTAATATTTTTTGCAAAAAAGTGGTAAAAGTTAAAACTATGGCATTTATTAATAAAATAATTAAATTTATTAAAGAGGTTAATTTAAACAAAACCGACGAGATATTTATATCTTTAAAATTCTTTAATTTTATTATTACTTAAAATAGGTAAAATTTGGAAAAAAAAGTTTATAAGGTATAATAATGTAAGATTGTTAAGTTTTATAATAATATATAATAAAATTTAATATTTATTAAAGTTATAAGTTGTTTTAAATTTAAAAAATCTTTAAATACTTTTTATTATAATTATTATATAACTTTAAATGTAATGTTATAATTTTTTAATGATTTAAAAATTATTATTAAATATTAAGTTTATTTTAAAAAAATACGTTAAATCTTTTAACCTTTCGAAAATGTAACGTTATAACATAAAAGAAATAAGGTTAAATTATTTAACGTTATGGTTGTTTTTATAAAAATTAAAAGTTATTTTAAGAAATTTTTAACAAGGTATAATTTAATAAAAAAAAAAAAAAAAAAAGTAAATTATCTTTTACTTTTTATTTAATAATGGTATAAATTAATATAAAAACCTTAGTTAATAAATAAAATATTAAAATTAACGATAAAGTGTATTATTTTTAACTTTTTTTTTTAAATTATTTATTTGTAATATTTTTAAACTTTTAATTAATAAATCTTAAGTTATTGTAAAAAACTTATTAAACGAAGTAAAAAAGTAATGTTTTATTTATTAAAGATTTAAAAAAAAAGGCGTGTTATTAAAGATATAAAGGTTAACGTTATTAATTTAAGTAATAAAAGTGTAAAATAAATACGGGAAAGTTTATAACGGATTTATAAAAAGTTTTAAAAATATCGAGAAATATTTAATAATATATTATTATATTAAATAACTGTTATATTTTATTTAAGTAAAAAGGGTAAGTTTTTTAAAGTAATTTATTTAAATTTAATAATTTTAATTAAATAATAAATTTATTTATTATAAAAAAAATATAAAGATTTATTAATATTTAATGTAATTAAGTTATAACTTTAAAAGTTTTTTATATTTTTGGTAAAGTTTATAATAAAACTTTAAAAATTTAAAATATTAATATTAACGGCTTTAAATTATTTCGATTTAAATAAGAAAAAGCTTTTAATTAGCGATAAATTCGATTAATACTTTAATATAAAAAAAACAAGGTATAATAAAATTAAAAATAACCCATTTAATTGGTGGAAACGTAATAAAAAGCGGTTTTTTTAATTACACAAATTTGTTTTAAATATATTAATTATTTTTATTATATTAATAAAGTGCAAACGTGTGTTTAATTAATGTAAATTAACAATAATATTATAATAAAAAAATTTAAAAATATATATTTTAAAGGTTTTTTAATATTTAAAGCATTAATATAAAAATAATTTAATTAAATTATAAAAGTTTATTAATAAGTTAAACGATAATAAAAGAATTACGTTAATAAAGTTAATAATAATTTTAAAAAAATTAATTAACGTTTTAAATAAAAAAGATTTAAATAGTAAATAATTTATTATATAAAAGTGGGTTTAATTAAAATTAAGAAAAAAAAAGGTAATAAAGTTATTATAATGTAAATATATAAAGTTATTATTATATATATTTAAAAAATAACAATATTTTTTATAATATTTTTAAAAAAATATATAAAAAGATTAAATATAAAATGTAAAAAAAAAAAGTTTTAATAAATATATAAGTTATATAATTAATTTAAACGATATAATAAAAAATATAATTAAATATGGTTAAAAGTAGTGTAATTATTACCAAATTGCTTAAATAAATAAATGATAAATAAATGACGCGTTAATATTAAAATATATATAATATATTAATATTTACACTTAATTTATATAAAAAAAAGTATATTTAATATATAAAAAGTAAACATTTACCTATTTTCCCAATATTGGTTTATACGGTAGTTTCGGAAAAAATCTAATCCGGTTTTAGGACCTAAGTTAATCCGTAACTATTGTTAGTTAAATAAAAAAATTCATTTATTTAACTTAACCTGGGGGCGGCCAGGCTTTTAGTAAAAATTTGCTTAATTTGGCTTGTTAAGACCGCTGATAGACCTACGCGGCGAAAGGAGCTCCCGTCAGCTCATTGAACGAGGGAAGATGTTTTTCCGATGTGCTAAAGGGCCTGCCTTTTTAGAGTTTACTAGTTCTAGGTTAAGACTGGACCCGGCTGGAAGAAAGTACCTAAAGTAAATATTCCTACAGGACTAGTACATACCTATAGCTACCCCCAACGGAGAGACGGCTAACCTATACCTAACTTTAGTATAATCGAGCTAGAGTGGTCGTTGAACACGAGTCTCATCCATGGAATAGTTGGGATCGAGAGGATCTAGATGTAATGGAAAATTGGATACTGGATGTGGATGATTACAAGACCGATATTAAAGAACGAGCAAAAGACCCCACGTTGTGAATGCCATCATTGCAGCGAAGTGGATGTTGAGAAAGAAAGATACCTACATATCTGGGACATTCAGCGACTATGATAGCATTGATCCAAAGACCCGTGAGAGCCTTTCGGATCACCAGTATCTCTTATTCATGTCTCATATGTTCGGGTTTATCCTCAAAGATCGCACATACGGTACGTGAGCCCAGCAGTGGATGATATTGCGAATGTATTTTTTCTAACTTAGAACCCAGATCTTATTGATGTCAGCGGCCTTGCCCCTCCTAGAATTGCGAAAGACTCCATTGATCAGTTGGTAATGAGGCCTGAAAGCAACAAGAATACGATCAAGGCGATTGCTCAGACCTCCCGGTACTGGCAAGACACTCACAGCTGGTATGAACCACCTTTACACTAGGTACTAATCTAGGATACTGACCCTACTTTAGAATCTGTTGCCGAATACACAAAGAGGCCATTGCTTAGCATCACCGCAGCTGATCTGGGTCATGAACCAGTCGAACTAGAGAGAAATCTCCTCAAGTTCTTTAGAGACGCCAATAGCTGGGACGCCATCGTACCTTTGGACGAAGCCGACGTGTATCTGGTAACTATATAAAATCAGATTAGCCCGCAAGCTAGTAATTCTAACTTCATACTCAGGAACGACGTTCAAGCAATGATCTTAAGAGAAATAGTATCGTGTCAAGTAAGATCACATTCTATATCCCCACGTCTGCGGACCGAAAAGCTGGCTGACTTCGCATACAGTTTTTCTACGCGCGCTTGAATACTTCCAAGGAATTCTGTTTTTAACTACTAATCGTGTGGGCGACTTTGACGAAGCGTTCTTGTCTCGTATCCATGTGGCGATCGGCTATGAGCCCCTTGATGACGCGGCGCGGGAGCAGATCTGGAGTAACCTCTTCCGCAAACTTAAGGAAGATCACAAACACGGCGGGCTGGATATCCATTATGAATATGGTGCTAAAGAATATGTTCGAAAGAGCGAGGAAATCAAGAAGCTGGAATGGAACGGTCGCGAAATTCGTAATGGTAAGTTGGCCTTTCTGTCTCGTGTCTCCCCTTGGCTAAATTTCATACCTACGGCTTTTCAATCCGCTGTTGCGCTTGCACTCTACGATTCTAGGAAGGCTAGGGAAAGTGGTGTCTCGATTGAGGATTCTATCCCGGAAGTCAAAGAGGCGCATCTGAAAGAAATTGCGCACATGTCTACAGCGTTTAAGAATTACATCACGTCTACTCATCAAGGCGTTAAGGATTCAGACATGGCATATAGACTCGGAATCCGAGATGACAACTTCGGTAAGTCTCAGAAGACAGCATGAATGGGTATCAAGAGATGCGATATACGCCACGGTCTCGAAGTTAGTAGCTAGCTATTTAACATTAAGTACATTAGGTAGTCGACCATTTAGAGGATATGCAACGCATTTTGAAGTAGGGGTGAAACTCATGGCGCTTATCTGTTTATTAACGGGACCTAGCCTTCGTAGATCTAGATCTAGATCCTAGAATGTGACAACTTAGAGGTTCGTTTCGTGGCGTTTGGGAGGGGTTGTTCCTGCAAGAGCCGTCTTTGCTCCGTCCATCTTCTTTGACACGGCACCTAATACAGCCTTAACCATGTCGTCGGATCCGAAGCTGGCAGGCCAGCCACGCCATGCCACGGTGTCGACGATGTCGCGCGTGCGAGCCTGCTTCCACATCTCGTCATCTGCATGTTCGAACTTCTTACGCGCCTCTTCGTTATCACCTAGCTGGAACAGCATAACGCCCAGCTGATGTGCGGGTGCGTTCATGCTATCCAACTCTTTGGCTATCTCGAGCAAAGGAGCCGCAAAGTCGTCGTTTGATATGCCGGCGGTAATTACGATGACATTAAGAGGGGCTCGCTGTGGATCTAGCTTCAGCTGCTCAATGTACCAGGCTAGGATCTTCTTCAAACGAGCGCCCAACTTGCATCCGCCGCCGGGCTTAACAGCCTGGAATATATTTTGCGTGCTATCAAGCTTCCCGGTGTCGCTGTGGACTTTACCGATATGGTTATATCCCGACTTGCGCACAGACATACCGGGGAAGTAAAGCATGGGCCTGTGGTTGACAAAGTAGAGGTCGACACCGTTTTCATCATACTTCAGACAAACCGGAGCGACAGCCTGAATAAGAGCGGACACGTCGCTCCACTGGCGCTTCATGTTTGAAGAGTCGTCGATAACAAACAGAGTCTCAAAGTATTGCAGAAAAGAGAGCAGTTCGGTATGCTCAGTGCCAGGTGCCTGAGGGACACCGGCGGTATCGTCGTCGTTAGTGTAAGTGGCCATGTTGACGATTTGATGATTGGTGTTTAGTCCGACGATAATAGAAAGCGTTTAGAATAGGAGAATAGGAGAATGGGCGCTAGGATTGGGAATTTATATCATTCCACTTTGTTGGTATCGTTTATATGAGCTGTGCGTTAGGCTCTGTTATCGTTGGCAAGTCACAGCCCTGAAATTAGGTACACGTAATGAGGGTCCCAGTCTGTTAATCCCCCGCATGATTAGGGGGGGGGTGTTTTTCTTCAGGGATAGGTATTATTGTGGATCATCCAGCTGTGCTGTGCTACCATACTTTGATCAACATTTTGTGTTACTTAACTACGTATAAAACGATACCGCTTTTTGGTGTTTATTCAGTGACGCGTTGGTATTCACTTAATGATTCCCAACGTACAACTTTCGCTATAAATGAATTTGTTATCTATTTCAATAGAACTGGTATTACATGTAGCTTTCAACTTACATCAAAGTTATTGTACCCAAGGTTACAATCCATTTATACCTACCTACATATCAAAGAGCCATTGAAAACACCACCTTTGTCAATTATGTCTACAATGCAACTACAATCAAAGAGTACACTTCGGTTATTGAATACCATCATTGACAGGTACTATACTTTTGCAATCACATAACTATAGACAACCCAAACTACGGAACAATCCTTTCAAGTACGAAAATAGCTACCGAGTATTCTCAAAGCCATTGTTCGTACGGACTCAAAAATTAATCAATAGATGTTAGTACCTACTCAGTATAAAGTCTACCCAAGGGAACCGTGATAGAGATGATACCTAGAAAGCAGATCAGAAGACCTCAGCTCACAATCTATCTAATTCGGCCGGACTCGATATTAGTCAAGTGAATATCAACAGAATCTACCTCAGCTACTAAATCAATTATCAACTCGACAACATGCCCGCAGCACCAATGACTTCTGCCGCTAGGCTGATTTCAAACCCTAACTTCAAGAGTGGCTGGGGAGCAGTCCTCACTCCAAAGACTAATGAGGTAATCCGCAGTGTGAAGAAGGAAGCCGACGGAATGTATCGATTACAAACCGCAAGAGATCGACCTATTTCCGCGACTTCCATATACACCGCGTTATTCTGGGAGGCACGCAATTTTAGAAAACCATCTATAGTCTTTACGCCCGCGGTTGATGACGAACTCCAACTTTTCTCAGAGGAAGGTAAGGGTTTTGATAAGGCTCGAAAGGAAATTCGCAGAATGGCATCTGACAACATCAACGATGCTAGCTTTCACCCGCTATTTAAATCTATGCGTAACTGTCGCTTCACGCTATGGCCTATTCACCTACCGGTACAGGACGTCTGGGTGACTGTCATCTTGCAGATTGGGGGAATCTCCACGAACTTCCAAGAATCTCCTAATCGTTTCGACCGAGAAGTGGTTGCATGTGCTATTGTCGACCCTTTACCCAATGACCGTGATGATCGAAGACACTTTGTCAAGGAAAGATTGGCAGAAATCCTAGAAGATGGTTGCATCTATTTACCTGACAACGCTATGGTTGAAAGCTTTACGACAGAAGACGTGCACGAAGCATGGGCAACAGGACATGTGGCTTACGCTGTATGCCGAGAATTCATTCGCCGACTGAGGGTTCTCAATTACCAAGAGGATTGTGGCCATGCTGTGAACACTGGCCTACTCTGGACTGGACTTGAGGAGCACCATGACATAGACTCCTACCGAGAATCAATGATGGCTGCCTGTGCGCATCGTACGATTCGAAACTCTGGATATCATGTACGAATGGCACTCGAGGTTCCTAGTGAGAAGTCAAACTACAATCCCGATGGTTTAAATCCTTTCTTCGAAGACCAACAGGATGAGTGGTTTACAAAATCCAAGGCAAAGGCAAAGGCAACCGGCAAGGCACGGGCCAAAGCTTCCCAGAAAAATGAGATTATCGTGGCGCAGGCCTTAACTCCTGCATCAGAGCATGGGTCAGACGTGTCGCAACTAAATGACTTGGAATCGGATGGGCATGACTCGGACCAAGATGCGGATGCAGACCCAGTACCCGAAAGTGATGTATACACCCCTACGAAACCTACATTCGATGGCCATGACAAGCCTGTGGAAAGTCCAGTCCTCGAAAGCATCGAGGCTGAAGAATCTCATGCCCACGAAGCAGTCGGAACCGACAGTAATCAAGGTCTCCAAGAACTGGGAAACACTTTCCCAAGCCTTAGCATCCCAGAACTCTCAAGAGAAGCAACTCCGGTTCCAGTTGCTGAAATGCAAGCTACCCCTGAAGAAGCAGAACCTGGCTTCTCAACCCCGACAAAGCGCAAACTGGATGAAGTAGATGACGTAGATGACGGAGAGCAGCCACCAGCAAAGAGAGCGAAAATCGAGGATGCTGAATAGATAGATATAGGGACGAGTTTTTGTTTTTGATGCTCTACCTCGGAGTAATGTTTCAATGCTAAGCTAGACTATCTACCTAGATAGATATCCGGCACGTACCTGTTATATTGTTTGTATGCCGAGTTTACAGGCATGTTTATGCGGAACCTAGATATGTAAAAAAAGAAACTATTTAATGCAATTATAAAGCGAACTTCAATTTAAATCTTTTTATATTTTTCCGATGTGATCGAAAACACACAGTTTAATTCAGCTTTTATACAGTGAAATCAAAGAAGGGCCTACGTTGTTTGTGAGACATACTATCAAGAGTGGGCAAAGTGAATTAGATACATCATTCGCTTGAGTACCTATATAGGCCAGAAGTCATTGTTTCTCAGTATTACATAGGTAATTATGTAGCATCAATTATGTTACATAGTGCTGAGGTACTGGTCACAGTATGTTAGCTCATCTGCTTGTTTGGTTTCGATGGTTTCGCGGATGGTTGTTGTTTGGGAAGAAGCTCCGCAACATTATGGTACCATCTATGTTCCCATTCACCTTCAGCCATTCAGCCTCCTCATCAGTCATCGACACATGCGGCTCCTTCTTGACCCGCAACAAAAGTGCATAATTATTTGGTATCCCCATTGTAGAGTATCCTCTTTCTATGCTAGACTTAACAGTCTTCCGTAGCACGTCGGTGAAAGTCTGGGCATCTGGCACCTTGTGGATGCCCATTTCTCTGAGAAAAGCTGGGAAATCATTAATAGTGTGTAGGCGTCGAACTGTCTCTGCTAGTTCTTTGGCTGCATTGTAGGGAGGAGCACCGTGGCGGTCGAATAGCTCGTCGCGAACTTGGCTCAGGGGTTTCTTGTGGGAAGGCCGCGCGGTGCGCCTGAACAGCTCTGAGAACATTAGAAGCCGATAAGAGGTTCGAGAGCCTCGGAAAGTCTGATCCAAGCGGTAAGCTGATACTGGGTCCCGCTCTAGATATGAAAGTTCGGGCATGTCGGCTCCTTTCTTGTCGAAGAGCCAGACCACATTTCTTGTAATTGCTTCGATGATGATAGCTTTTATAAGCCCTTCGGTAACCTCGACGTCAGATATCAATAAGGCGATGAGTAGATGCCCCAAATTAGGACACTCTACTTTGGATCGCTTCCCACTCATGAAGTTATGCAGTAAATAATTTGCATGCTTAACCAGCGTGCAATCCTCAGTGGCAAGACATACTAATAAGTGGAATAGGTGGAAATAAGAATCAATAGCCTTCTCTGACGCGTGGCGAAGGTTGGTCTTTGGAGAATGGTGATTGGCAGTGGCTTCCGTTACTTGATTGAGTCGAACAACGACATCATTCATAAACGTGAACAGTACTTGAGCTTCGGAAAAAGGCCCCTTATTCTTGATCTTTTGCACCATCGCTTCCAGAGAGATTTTGACATACTTCTTAACCCGCTGCCAATGCCCAGGCGAGATAGGCAAAGGAAGCCAGTGGTCGAAATGGATATTGTTGACGGACTCGCGAACATTCCAGGACCTATAAGCTTCCCGGGAGAGGAGGTCAAATTCCGAAGCTATTTGACCACGGTCAACTGATACACCTACGCCGAGGTTCACAAACTGGTAATTCTGCTTGAGGCAAAAGCATTGAAGCTCACGCCGTCTGACAATATCGAAGTCCTTGATAATGTCGCTGATCCTGGGCCAGGCCGCAGCAAAGCTTGTCAAGTGCTCAAAGTCTAGCTGCTCCAGAACAAGTAGGATCAATTCGTTGGGTAGGCGGTTGATTTCGCAGGTCATAACTTTCTTGGGTAGAGGTGCTTGTATATCAACGTGGGAATGTTGGGTTTGAAGTTGTTTCCCAGTGTTCTGGAGCGTTGGCCAGTGACTTGGATTGCTATCCACGCGGGCATCATAAGCCTGGGATCTGTACCTTACCGGCCGGGATGGTTTGGGTTGGCCTTGGCCAAAATGACAATATTTGCACCTGAACGAGTCAATTAAATTCCTATCCACAGCCTTGAATCCGGATAGTTGCTTTTTCGCACCCCCGTGTTCCTGCTCGACGGTGTCGCTTGAGAAGAAGCTAAGTAGCTGGATAGATATGCCCTTGAGCGTATATGCAGGTGTATGCTCGGCGCCGTGGCGTAGAATGGTAGCACATATGAAATCATGATAGACATTAGGATGGTTAACGTCCGAGTCCATCTTGACCCGTGGTGGATCTAGAGGGTACATAGACGAAAAATGCATGGTGAGGTGCAAGGGTTTATAGTCAGGAGGCGTAAGGACTAAACATGCCGCTGTAAGATCGTCCTCGATGATATGCAAAGCGATATTGGGGTAAGGCTTTTCCATGAGTTCCTTGATGTCTAATAGAAGTCGGTTTCGTCGAAGGGAATCACCAACACTCGGCTGGGATTCTGTTGCTTGTTGATGAGACATGACGATAATCCGGTGGCGACAGTTTCCTTAGGACAGGGTATGAAGAGAGTAAATTGTCGACGGATATTTCTCCCAGGGTGATGAATTATGAAAGCCTTCAATGATAGTCCACTGAATATACCGGGTTACGAACTGGATGGTCGTTTAGTGTTCCGACAGGAGCTATCGACGATAGACTTTGGTGGTTAGACAAGAAACAACCCCCGATAGCATTAAGAAGATGAGAACATGGACGATTTAAATATTTATCACGGCTGTCTGGGAGAGGTGGAGTAGAATGGTCTAGTAATACTTAATCTGTAACCTAAGGAATCGACGACAAAGAAAATCTAGGCAATAATAATCATCCCCAGGCAGCGTTATGGTGTACTTCGGCCTTTGACTCATTACGGTCACGATAGTGGATGATAGTGGAGGATCGATGCCCCTATTTTTACCCTTTTCATCTCGCCGCGAAGTATTAACCGTGGCGGTGCAATTGATTTATTTGCTCTTCACCGTTAAATCAAACTGGCATGAGCTTAGCAAAAAAATGGTATGATATGAAAAAGAAACTTCTGTGAGCATAAACTTTGTCTCTTTATTTTAATTGTCTTGCATGTTGCCCGCCTCAGGTACCCTAACCTACCTAATGTTATAGCGGGGTCAGCCTGTAGTATTACCACTAACACCGTGGCCAAGACTATATCCCCAGGCAAGACTATATCTAGAGCTAGCTATACCAAAGCCCAACTTAGGTACCTAATATCGCAAGGCAAAATGCTGATTAGTAAATTCAATATTCAATTTAATATGGCCTCTATGAGCGTAACTTGGGGTCAATATTCAGGTCCTCAGACTAGTGAGGCGTCTTGGATTAAGAGCTTCCAGATCAGTGAACTAGCTAGACACATTGTCAGTCTTTATTTTACTAGGTGCTAGTTACGAGCATGACTCCTTACTTGAGCCTTATTAGAAATTAACTCCTTGGACTGATACTGGGTCCGTATAGATGTGTAACGTTTACTGATTATTCAAGCTGCTATCTATTATGAGTGATGCTAATTGTAGATTACCATGCCAGCCCTTCCACGTAGATTACCCCACAGAACAAGTGTATGCACCTGGCCACTAAAATTACTAGTAAA